GCATGTAAGAAAGGACTTCATCAAGTACTGACCAAGGCATCATATATAACTGATACACAATTTCGAAATCCTATTATATAACTTACATACGGACTGTCTTATAGACTTAGATTTCATGGTACACCTCACTCAGTATAATCTGTAAATAAAAACTTGGATATAAGATATTTTAAAAAATGTTTTAGCTGAAATACCTTCAACATATAATTAGCATCAGAATAAATCAATTACTAATACATCCATTTACTTTTTCTGTATTTTTTCAATCCACAAATTACCTTTTCCAATCGATAAATAAAATTACTATTCATTTTTATTCATAGAATTACGTAGTAATCGAAGTAGCAAAAGTAAGAAATGTAGTAGAAAGGAAGCAAATGATAATAAATATTCATAACAACGATTATCGTATCTAATTTTAGAAATGAACAAAAGTTTCATGAAAATGATATAAGGATGACAGTGGAAAAATGATGAATTTAATTTTACCACTCTCTTTTTGCTATCACATCTACATTCCGTTATATTTATATATCCAAAATTTGTGCAAATCGAATCGTGGTTATTTTTCTTGTTAAAAAATCTTTTAAAAAATTGAAGCGATAAAATTTAATTTTCGATGCACTCATGTAAAGACCCTATTTCAGCTTTTGAAGAGTCATGGCATGGAACCAACTTCAGTTGACAAATGCGACACCACTATGATTATTCATTTCATTTCTCTTTCTTTCTCCATCTTTGCAAATTTGATCTCTTTCCTTTTCTTTTGAAAACTTAAAATTTTCCCCATTAATTTCTTACTTAAAAATTTAATTAATTTGAATTATGGGACATTTGATTATCAGGCAAAAATAATTAGGCTGACTTTTATTTCTTGGGCAATGTTTCTAATAGCTTACGATTTGGAAATTTAGTCATATAAATCGGCTTAATAATATTTTCCTTTCAGTTTGCTCTTTTATAGCTTTTTGATAATATAAATGCTTGTAAAACAAAAAAATTCGAGAAAGACTTTTATAATATATATCTGTATTTCTGAAAATAATTTCACAAATATTATTTATTTATTAACTAATCATTTCTTCCACATAATTTATCATTGCTGATTTTAGCTGTTGACACTGTAAGAGCTTTGTAAATGAAATTTTCCGACACAAATTTCAGAGAATTCAAGAAGAGTAATTCTCGGACAATACTATTCAAAGAATGAGAAGTAAATTTTAGCATTTTACAATTTGTATTCAATAACTGTCAGCTTGAACTCTTTGAATAGTAGTAGTGTACATATGTGTATAGTAGTGCATACCAAATATAAAACGATCGATCTGTAAATTTAACATAAAATCGAATCAAAGCAAGGATTGCTCAGAAATTCATTTTCTCTGCGAAAGTTTCGAATGATTGGCATAATGCAATCAAATGTTATTTTATCCAACATTCGGATGAGTTTTAGCAAATGGCAGTACTACGGCAATCTGTTGTTGGCGTTTAATACCCAATAAATTAAACATCGCTTTACGGAATGGTGGCAAGACGAAAACCGTACATAACGTCACTATTGTTGCACGAAACTGTAATTTTGATTAAAATTAAAAATTTTAATTTTTTATAAAGTAATTTTAAAATGAAAACACAGAAGAAATGAAGCAAAAAATGATTAAGTCATACCCTTAAAATAATATGATTTATTCTGAACAAATTTGCCAACCGATTTGTATTGATGATTGATCCAATAACACTAACTGTAACACAGTTTATTATTGAACTTGATTATATCCTTCACCATTAAAATTTTCTCTTGCTTGCTCTTTATTACAAAAATTGGATTTGTGATTTAAAACGAATTCTTATTATTCTCCAAGCGATCGAAGAAATTCTCAACTGATTTATTAGAAAGAGTCGAAGAAATAAGCATAAAAAATACTGCTAAAATCAGTAATTTATAAAAAAAGTGCAATAAATTTGTTTGAATTTATATACTTTGAAAAATTTGCAGTAAAACTTTATTTATAATAAATTGACAAAGTTTTCATTTATCTAAATAATTTATCATAATATATTATTACAATTAAATTACTCTAGCGAATGAAGAATTTGCTAGTTTAATCAACGAGTTGCGCTTGGATTTTCATATATCGAATTAAAAAATATTGCAAATTTTTTTTGATAATGAAGTGCTGAATTTGATTAAATATTTTCAGTACTTCAAATGTTAGGGAATTTACTGCAATAACTTACCGACAATGCAAAGGTCAAACAGTGTAATTGGTAAAAAATAAAAGATGAGTGGCCTAAGAGCTTTTTTCAGCTGTTGATTTTCTTTGAATAACTTATTTCTATAAGCTGTATAAATTGCCTGTAATTAAGAAATGGAAATGAATTATCGAATTTTTTTTATCAGCAAGCTTCAAAACCTATTTCAGAATACATTTTGTCCCTATTATACGCTGAATAAACTGATATTTATTGTTGTTCGTATTAATAATCAAAACAAATTTTCTCCTTAAAATTACTGAAATGAAATGGAAAATACTAAAATTATTATTTAACCAATTTCGTATAATTATGCTACAATAATTGAAATGAATATAAAAGTTATAATATTTTTTGTATATGTATAAAAGGTAAAAATCTAAAAAGGTTAAAATAGTAATTAACCAAAAATGGTTTCGTGAAATTGTGAAGAAATAAAAAATTAAGCAAAACAGAATTTGTCTTTTAAATGTTAAAAATATTCATTAGAAAGAAAAGTAATCTGAAGAGGAAGAATCTTGATTATACTAAATATTTCAGTGTAATTAAATGGAAATAACTTACAGCGCATAATATTACAATCGAACTAAGATATATGATAGCATTTGCACTGTAATAGCAAATCTTAGCAAATACTGCAATTGCTTTATTATTAATGAGATTTAGACTTGCAATTGGAATTGAAACTACCTGCGCAAATGAATAAACGAGAATAAACACCCGCGATTTCCTAAAATTCATTGAAAATTAGGGAAATTAGCGCGCAATTTCACTTATTGATCTTTACCTATTCAATTTCGAAAATGCTTAATTTTTTCGGATTACTAAATTGGGATAATGGCAAGGAATTAATTAAATTGAAATAATTTTTTTGATATAAAAACCTATTAAAGAAATAAAGGACAGGTGTAAAAGCAAAATTCTTACTAACCTTCTGAACAAAGTCTTCAAGGTCTCTGTTTTTAAAGCATAAATACTGTATATTTCAAGGATAGAAAAGAATATTATCAAACGTACCACTGCCAATGTTGTCATTTTCAGATAAAATGCAAACCAATGAAAGCTGAAAAAACGATAGAAATTTCACTTTCCCTCGAAATTTTGACATTCATTAAATATTTCAATGGAAAAATAATTCCATTTTTAATTTTTTTGTAAATTTTGTATTTTGTAAATAATTTTGTAAATTTCTTTTGTAAACTCAAATGATATTTGATAACAAATTATATTCTTAAATTTGCTTAATCACTAATTTGCATTAAAGCATAAATGCAATTTTACAAAAGAAATTTACAAAATTTATCCATTTTATCATAAAAGCTAATTTTTCAAATTTATTAAATTAAAACATAGCGTTGGATTAATAATTCATATCGTTAAGCTATTTATGCTATATTGATTAACTATATGTATAATTTACAATATTTTTTAACTCACTGATTACTGATTTGTTAAAAATGTTATTACTTCGTGAAGTTTTTACAATTTTTAAATTTCTTAACTTTTTAAAATTCCTTTTGTAATATGTAATAAACACTTACATCGAGAATACGATTTCATTGGATGAATTCAGCTTTACTTCAAGCATCGAAGCTATTTTATGACCAACGCTGCCAAAACTGTATGCAGCCAATAAATTGATACCGTACCATTTTACAGTAACGTTTTCAACTTTCCAAATTGCGAACAGTATGACAGAATTAGGGAGGATAACATCGAGTAAGAGGAAAAATAATTTCATTTTACGGTATTTACCAGTAATCAAATGAATTTCAATCAATAAAGCGAGTAGATAAAATGTTGATAAGTATGATATGATGTATTGAGTTGAAAGAAATAAATTGAGTGAAACTAAAAAAGAAAAATGAAGTTCAATTTAAGTTAATTCGATTTTTTGAAAAATTTTTTCTCCTGTTACTCTAAAAACTTATTATCGAATCATTCATATCAAATTACCCTTTCAGATATCAAAATCAATTTAAATTCTCTATTTAATTAGTTACAAGGAATCATTGCAGATATATGAATATTATAAAATATCATAAAAACGGATGTTAGTGGTCGAATATCAAGAATGACTAACAGTTAGTAATTAGTTAATCAATTGTCAACAAATAGTGACTTCAACGTTTAAAATAGTGAATGGCTCCGCATAAAGTTAACTATTTCATTGCTATTGCTGCTAATTTTGCATAATTCACTAAACTAATTTCTGAAATGAAATTTAAACAATTAAAATATTAGCTACGAATAGTTTCACAATTTTTTAGCCATGCAAATGATCGTACACATTTTTGAAGTGTAAGATTATTTCAGTAAAAATGGTCGCAAATCTTTCATGCAAACGATGAAAGCTTCTAACAAATATCATTAATTTTGATTATTAATTATTAGTTATTCATACAATTAAAATAATTACAAAACAAAATTCGCTAACATATGGAAATTTAAAGATATTCGTTTTGAATAAATGTATCAATTTTAAATTTAGTTTTAATGTATTTAATGTCAGCATGGAATGTTTTTGCGAGAAGCCTTAAGCGATGCATAATATTGCTATTGTGATCATAAGATTTTAAAGAGGACTAACAACGGAAATTTGTAACAAAAACAAATCGGTGGCTAGAGGAATTTGCGACAGCAAATATATTTGGCTTCATTTGCATTTCAGTAAAATAGGGAGCTAATTTAATTTCAAATATGACTAATTGGCATATGCATGGATCATACAATCAAATCCTATTTTGTCAACCATTCGGAAGAGTTTCAGTGAGTGGTAGTACTACGGCAATGCGTTGTTGACGTCTATTACCCAATAAATTAAACATCGCTTTACGGAATGGTGGCAAAACGAAAACCGTACATAATGCCACTATTGTTGTACGAAACTGTAATTTCAAATCATTGATTATTATTAAAATTTGTAAATTTTTATAAAGTAATTCTGAAATAAAAGCCGTAGAAAAAACAAAACGAAAAAACGATTGAATCATACCTTCAAAATAATACGATTTATTTGGAACAAAATTACCAACCGATCTGTATCAATGGTTAATCGAATAGCACTAACTGTAATGCAGTTTATTATTGAGCTTAACGACAGCTTTCTAATTCTTTTTTCTTCATCTTCAAAACATTTTTCTCGCCTATTGTTGGATTTGTGATTTAAAACGAATTCTTATTATTCTTCAATCGATCGAAGAAATTCTCAACTGATTTATTAGAAAGAGTCGAAGAAATAAACATAAAAAATACTGCTAAAATCAGTAATTTATAAAAAAAAGTGCAATAAATTTGTTTGAATTTATATACTTTGAAAAATTTGCAGTAAAGCTTTATTTATAATAAATTGACAAAGTTTTCATTTATCTAAATAATTTATCATAATATATTATTACAATTAAATTACTCTAGCGAATGAAGAATTTGCTAGTTTAATCATTGAGTTGTAGTTGGAATTTCATATATCCAATTAAGGAACACTACGCATTTCATTTTGATAATGAAGTACTGAATTAAATTAGATATTTTCAGTACTAAAAAGTTAATGTTGCAACAACTTACCGGCAATGCAAAGATCGATAAGTGTAACCGGTAAAAAATAAAAGATGAGTGGTTTAAGCGCTTTTTTCAACTGTTGATTTTCGTGGAATAGTTTATTTCTGTAAGCTGTATGAACTGCCTGTAATTAAGAAATGGAAATAAATTATCGATTGCCTTTTTTGTCAGAAAGTTTCAAAACCTTTTTGAGAATATATTTTGTCCATACTATTCGTCGAATAATACACTGATATTTATTGTTGTTCGTATAAATAAGCAAAATAAATTTTCTTCTTAAAATTACTGAAATGAAATAGAAAATATTAAAAATATTATAAAACCAATTTCGTGTAATTAAGTGAAATAATTGAAATCTATGTGAAAGTCAAAATATTTTATAATATATATAGTAGTCAAAAAAAGAAGCTAAAAGGTTAAAATATTAATTAACCAAAAATGGTTTCGTGAAACTGTAAAAACAATCACAAAAAGAATAATTCGAATTTTGATTGAATTAAAATATTTCAATATATATAGAAGAAGCAACTTACAGCACACAATATTGTGATCGAACTAAGATATATAATAGCATTTGCAGCATAATAACTCGTCGCAGCAAATGCCGCAATTCCTTTATTATCGGCAAGTCTTAAAATTGCAACTGGAATTGAAACTGTCTGTGCAAATGAGTGAATAAAAATAAGCACTCGCGATTTCCTAAAATTCATTAGAGTTAGAAAACAAAGCGAACAATTGTATTTATTGAGTAATTATTGTTGCGTTAATTTTCAAAATACTTCAGTTTTCTAAATTGCTATATTAGGATAATGATAACGAATTAATTCAGTTGAAGTAATTTTTTTTTGCAATAAGGAAATTTGTTGAAACAAAAAGTGGCAGATGTAAATTATCAACCTTTTGTATAATGTTTTCAACATTTTTGTTTTTAAAGCATAAATACTGTATATTTCAAGAATACAAAAGAATATTATCAAACGTATCACCACAAACGATGTCATTTTCAGATAAATCGTAAACCAATAAAAGCTGAAATAATAATAAAATTTCATTTTTCTTTCCAATTTTGATATTTATTAAATGTTTAAATGGAATTATTAAACCCAAATGATATTTAGTTACAAATTATATTCTTAAAATTGCTTAATTACTAATTTGCATTAAAGCATAAAAGCAATTTTACAAATATTATTTTTAACTATAAATTGACTATAAAATAACTATAAAATGTAGTAATTTTCAATACTTTTTGTTGTGAATACTTTAAAGCTAACAGTTTTGAAAACTGAAAATTTATTTTGTGATTTTTTTAGGAAATAATTCAAGTCCTTGAGTATATATATAATATTTAGTAATTGTTTAAAGCAAAGTAATATATAGCAAACACATACATCGAAAATAAAATTTCGTTGTATAGTTTTAGCTTTCTTTCAAGTTCGAGGCTTACATAATAACCAACGCTGGCAAGACTGTATGCGGCCAATAAATTGATACCGTACCATTTCACAGCGACGTTTTCAACTTTCCAAATTGCGAACAATATGACAGAATTAGGAAGGATAACATCGAGTAAAAGGAAAAATAAATTCATTTTACGATATTTCCCAGTAATCAAATGTATTTCAATCAATAAAGTTGTTGAGTATGTATGATGCAATTTATTAATCTGAATGAAATAAATTGGATGAAATCTAAAAAAGAAAAATAAAGTTCTGTTTAAGTTCATTCGATTTTTTGCAATATTTTTTCTCCAGTTACTCTAAGAACTTATTATTGAATCATTGACATCCAATTACCTTTTCAGATATTAAAATTAATTTATATTATGCATTAATTAGTTACAAGAAACCATTGAAGATATAACAAAATATAACTACTTAAATTGCAACAATAGAAAATCATTAAAACAGTTATTAGTTATCGAATGTCAGAAATGCTTAACTATTTACAAGTTATAAGAATTAGTTTACAAGTTAAACTAAGTTTCTGAAATCAAATTTTAGCAATTAAAACATTATCAAACAATTTATCACTTGTTAATAAATAGTTAGTGACGCATCAATAAGTTAACTATCGCAAATTTCAAATAATTTGCTGAACTAAATTTGTGTAATCATATTTTAACATTTAAAATATTAGCTACAAATAGTTTCACAATCGTTAAGTTAGGAGAATGATCGTAGACATATTTGAAATATAAGATTATTTCAGTAAAAATGGTCGATAAATCTTTCATGCAAACGATGAAAGTTTCTAACAAATATCATTATTTCTGATTAATGATTATTAGTTATTCATATAATTAAAAATAATTACAAAACAAAAATCGTTAACATATGGAATTTCAAAGATATTCATTTTAAAAGATAAATGATGGATTAATAATGAAAGGATATTTGGTATGAAATGCAAAAGAATTTATTGAATTTGAGATTTTGATTTTAATGCATTTAATGTCATCAATTTTAAATTTTAGTTTAAATGTATTTAATGTCAATATAGAAAGTTTTTGCGAGAAACCTTTAGCGATGCATAATATTACTACTGTAATCAAAATTTCGAAAGAAGAATTGATGAAATTTGAAATTTGAAAATTTCAAATTTTGCAATTTTGAAGATAGGGAAATAATTGGGAACAATTGATGACATTAAAATATTATTAATCTTTCTTCCCCATTAATTAATAATACCTTGAATACGAAGTATGCAAAAAAATATGTTGAAAAGATACTGAAAAGTGCAATCTAACTATGAAGTTGCTGCATGAGAAAAATCGTGTGAAATATCATGCATTCTTTTCTTGCTGAAACTTATTGGAATTTAATTTTCGGAAACTATATGGTTATTTTCTTTTAGTTTTGATGCATTTTTATTCTATAATTTCAATTATTTATTTTTTCAATTGCAACCATAAATAACTGACAACAAGAGGTATAAAGCATTCATGCATCTGCGCGCAAATGAAAGGAGCGCAAATGTAAATGTTCAGATTGTTTTCCATATCTACCAAAGAGAGCTTCATGAATCAGAGGCAGAAGTTTGTCAAATTATGTTAGAACAATCAGATTTGAATAAATTTTGAGCATAGAAGCATAGAAATAGCAGGCGGAATTAATTACAGGATATTTATGATAAAATCGTAAGTGTAATAATTGCAGCAAATGCATTAATTATAATTTTTCGTATTACTAAAGATGATAGATTTGCAATGGTAATCGCTTTCGACGTCTAATCAATTGGATAATTTCATACCTGATATGTTCAGATTAATTGTAATTAAATAAGGATCAAATTAATTGTGTAATATATTTTAAATATTGGGCAATCAATGATACTGTCGTAATTTGTTCTCTTTATTAAAGTTATAAGAATGTTTTCATTCGTAATCATATTTTTCATTGACGTGGAATTATGTGTAATCCCGAGAATTTTTTGCCAAATTACAATTCTACTATTTGCTTTGTTTGTTATGATAGACATTCTTCTACTTTTCACTTTTCAGCATAATTGTTATCTTTCTTAGCAATATCAATCACAGTCATAATTATATTCCGGAAATTATTTCTGTAACTGCATTATTACTGTACCGCTTCGCGTTTACCGGAAGAAAGAGAGCATCAAAATGAAAAAAGAGTACCAAAATGTTTATAACTAATATTACGTAATCCCCTGAAGTAGATGAATAGTACATTTAAGTGTTCGTGTGTTATGCGTGCTTTTGAGTGCATATGTGGCGAAGAGAATAAAAATGATCAAAACTTTATGATATGATCTGTTAAAATAAGATTGATGATAAATTCATGATCACTTTGGAATATTTGTTTTGTTTGGAGATTTACGTTGCACGATGCCAGCGGTATCAACGTGAACAACAGAGGCTGAGGTCAGATGTAATACACTGATACATTTAGTTAGCGATACGGCATCAATGGCAATTTCTTGATCTATCTCATTTCCATCTTTTCCATCATCCTCACGTTTAATAAAATAGCCATATATCTTGGAAAAATTGAGAAATTTTAGACTTAAATTTCAAAAATTTGATCTTTTGACAAGAGAATTCTTAAAATATATTTTCAATAATGAATAGTACAAATTGGTTTTGGAGAAGTTATGTAATTCCAACAATGATGGAATTGGAATGCATAAATAATGTTATAATAGGCTAATTATGATTACTTCATTTGGTATTATTATATATTAAAACTTCTTTCCTTATCTTCTTATAATTAAATCTTCAATATAATGATTTTAAATTATTTACTCGTACTATTTAGCTCTTTGACACATTTTGATGTCTGCAATTTTCAATAATTAAATGCTTGACATTAATAAGAAAATTAAAACAATAACACATACTACTTTTTATACGCCTGAACTTCTTCGCATGCCCTAATATTCAAATTTTTAATAAGAATGTAGTGATTAAAATTATCAAACTAGTATAATAATTACTTTTTCATAAGGTAGTATTTTAAGAACACGACGAACTTCACGAATAAAATCACCAACAGTTCCCTGCTTATCGTAAATTAAAATTCCTTCCGCTTCTTCATCGCCGTCGGCCATTATGCGTACAGTCATACATCTTGATGCAAAATCGAAGTCAGATGAAAGGTCCACAAACTTAAAAAGTTATGAGAAACTTTCTCTAAAATTATAATTGATAAATTTGATTAAATTTGGGGTTTGAACAATTCACTGATGGTTATATTTCCCGCATAAGTTTATGGTAAATTTCTGTCCTTTCTTGAAAATGCAAGCAATTAGACATAGGTATTATAATGATAGCAGTTACCTTTGGTGGAAGATTTAATTCAAATAATTGGGATAATTTCTCTTGTTTTTTTAAATTTCGTTCTTTAACGATTTGAAGTAGTCAACTCCAACTAATTATCTACGATGCATAATTCTAATGAACTGATTAATTTCGTAAGTTGAGCGAAGAAAATTAAAAATGGATACAGTCACAGAATCGTCTTTGCAAAAATGTTCCGTCTTTCGCTCGCTCAAATCAAATCGCTGAAAAAATTCAGCTTTCTGTGGAAAGAGTGTACGTAATGCATTCACCGATTCAATCGTGTAGTACTGACGACATGATGGCTGAGGACACATTGGAGCTACTCCTGTAAATTTAGTTTTTTACAAACAACAATTTTTAATTATGTAATAAAAAATAGAATTTTGGTTTCTTTTTTTAGGTGTTGGATTAAATTAAGTTCAACATTAATAACAAAAAGCTAATGACAAAATTGAATCTAAAATTGAAATTATAATAGTAATCAATTAATACAAGTTCATTTTTTATTAATGAATAGTATGCGCACTTCAACAATAACAGTTGAATTAGGATTAGCAAAATTGATTACCACTTGCTTCGCAATCGGAAATCATATCAGTGAGACATTCAATGCATATATCATGATTGCATTCTGAATTTGACGGAAAGCCATTAAGAGCTACACGTTCACAATCATCTTTCACTTTACATTTCACTTGTGCCTGAAAGTTGTGTGCTATAACATGATGCTGAACATCTGTTAAAGCTTATTAGAACTTACGAATTGTACAAAGCATATACTAAAGCATATTAAACAATATCCAAATTTAGAAACAAAAAAAATGTCACCTCTTCGCTTTCAATTTTCTTCTTTTTTGACAGACATTTTCCATCAATACATATCAGCGTTTCCCCTGAAAAAATATTTATTTCTTTTAATTTTGCTTTTTAAAGAACTTTCAAAAAGTTTAAAAATTTTTATTCTATTAAAGCTGGCAATTTCCAACGAGAACTTAAGCAAAATTGGTTGGAAATAAAATTTTCTTTTTAGATTATTGCTGGGAATTTCACATAATTAAATGAATTCCTGAGAGCTTTATAATAAGTTAAAATAATTTTTTTTTATCACCAAAAGGTACGGTAAAATAATTGAATTGATTTTATGTTTTACATATTTACTTAATACCGAAATACTTACTGTTTAATAAACCCATATTTACCCGATTTTCAACACATTGCTTGCAAAAATGACATTTGCAACAATTGGTAGCAATCAATGCCTTCGAATCAGCTGTTTGTTTGCTGCAGTTATCACAAAAATATGCATCTTCCACTTCAATAATACTTCGATTGCAATTTTCTACGATGCAAGCTGCAGTAATAAAATCAGATGAGCATAAAGTAATTGTTACTCAATCAATTAATTAGTCAGTCAATCAACCAATCATATTTACTTTTTTTTATACCTACTGATTGAGTGTTATAAATATTTGCATACCAATTTGTGACGACAATTTAAAAAACTTTAAAATTTCACAATAGAGAAATTTAGTAAAAGTCTGAGAAATAAACTGACTAGGTGGTTGTCGTTGCAGTGATTCTTCTAAACATGTGGTGCAAAGTTCATGTTGACATGCAATTAAACGAGTAGATTCAAATTGTGATAATTTTCTGGAACCAAAAAAAATTGAACTAAAAAATATATTTAGGCGAGATTACGATTGATCCTATTATAAACTACACTGCAAAGTAAATAGTCGAATAAATAGTTCTAAAACAACTATTTGTTAAAATTTCAATTAACAATTAAAGCAAAGGAAGAAATGAAATGATATAATAGAAATGCAATGAAATGATATAATAAATTGAACAAAAATATTATAAAATAAAACTTTGCTTCTATTCCACTACTAAGGTAAAGGTAAATTGAAGAATTATCATTGCAAGAATTTACTTCTTCATATTCCTTATTATTATTCACTTAATTTTGTCATCTACAAAAAGAAGATTAGTTTTCTTTTCGGAATGAAGTTATCAAATGAAGCAAAAAATGAAACCAATTATACTTCGGACACATCATATTATCACAGTAATTAATGGTAAGTGGATGAGAATCTGTTACAGCATTACGAATATGAGAATAGCAATTTGTTGCTGGACAAGTCTAAATAAATGAATGAATGGCTGATATTTACTTTGTAACTTTATTTTATTACGTTTTTCACTTTGATAATGATTATATCTTTATTTTTGCTATTTCTCTCAATCCACTGTGTTATTATTATCATTATTCTTACTATTTATTACTATTATTTATTATTTATCATTTATTATTTATTTGTTATTTATTCCTTATTATTTACTATATTTATTAATTATTATTATCTATTATTATTTATTGTTATTTATTATTTATTTATTTATTATTTATCATCATTTATTATTATTTATTATTTATTTATTATTACTTATTATTACTTATTATTATTTATTAATTATTTATTTATTATTATTATTATTTCTTGATATTAAGCGATAGCTGAATTCTGTAATATTTTAAATTAAACGATTCTTAAGCATACCATCCCATCTGCAGAAATTATTTTGCTCTTTCTATTATCTGCTTGATTAATCTGAAATAAATCATTTTGTCAACTGCGTTATGATCTGGACATAATGCTCGGTTTAGATTATATTCACCTTTGTTTCTTAGCAGTATATTGGATTCATGTTGCTATGTATTAAACTGATATCATAACTGGAAGTAGCAGGTATGGTCAACCTAACGCCTATCACATGTCAAACATTCAGTCCTCAATACACAGTTGTTATTAATACTCTCTGTTAAAATAAGCTGGAATAAGAACACATCTTAATACCAATTAGAGTCCTCTGAAATTTTTAACGAGAAAAAATATATTTTCATAAACAATTCGCACCAACGGAGCATGATAAAACCAAGACTCTTCTAGAAGTTTTAAATTAGTAAATTAAGAAAGTAAATTGTTGCAATTTACTCACCTTTTGGTAAGATGTTAGGACGGCGATGCATCCACGACAAAACAAGTGAAAACACGGTAATATCTGTTGCATTTCAATATACGGACACATCTTCGAACATATTCGACATTCCAGTCTTACTATGTCACCTCCGCTTGACATTGTTTCATTCTTTAATAATGGCCAGTTCGAATCAGTGAACCATTTAAGTACTAAGTAAACATTGAAATGAAATTGATCCAACTTGATTTTTGGAGATATTGATTTTCAAATTTTCGAATTCCTTAAACTCCACGCTCTTATATGACACATTTATTTCAATTTTCTATTGGGTAATCTTCACTGCCATTTTTCTCCGTCTTCAGGAAATGTCGGGAAACATCAAGGAATATGACAACTTTTGGAATTACTTTGGAAGTTGTTTGTTCCTTTTTTCATTAACGGTAAACTTTGGTATGCAATGAATGGTTACATAATTTGGATGTCGCAATTGTCCGGTTTCGGAACATTTTTATCAAGAAATTCAATCTTCTAATAAAAAAGTAAGGGGAAGAACGAAGTAGAAAAAGCCGATTCAGATGGGATATACAGTGGACTGTTTATCCATTTTCAGGTTATTTAATTTAATTTCAGTTTCCTGCCTGTTTTCAAATTTCTCATAATTCACCTCTGCTTGTTTCAGACAGAAAACCACTTTGAAACTACATTATTAATCGACAAAATATGCAAATTTTCAAATAACTCCTTTATAAAGATAGTCGTTTACCGGTAGTTATGATTATTTTAATATGTTATTCACTAATACTCCGCTCGGTATCTAATCTCGTGTGCCGCAATACTTCCTGGAATAGCATCCCCAGGATATTCTCATTACTGAAAAGGATGCCTGAAGGTGTCACTGGCGCAGCTCGGAAAAAATCATTATACATATCAGTAAAAATTTGGTAGAAAATAAGTGTGAAGTGTTCAAGAAGGATCAACATGATAATGTTCGGTTCGTGAATCATTTGATGGATTTCATTTGAGGACTTCGTAAGACAATTCCGATCCTTTAAACGTTTCGAATTTCCAGAAAGTACGCAGACAACACATTCAACCACTGATGCTAGTGATAATACCACCGATGAAATTACAGAGTCCAACGAATCTGCCGCAATTGATAGGAACATAACCAGATTGCCGCCTATAGTTGTATGTTTTCTCTTCACAACAAAAGTCCTATTTCTGAAAAATGAAGGTTAAATGAATGGTATGATATAAACTTCAATGTTAAACAGATTGTCAAATAGTTGAAGCATTTGCTAAGATTACCTCACTCTTAGGAGAAAGAATGACACCTGCCGGAGAAAATGAGAGCGGTAAAAACTGCCTATGTAAACATTCTTCCAATTGCAAAATCAAAACAGACTTTCCAATCATTTCAAGATTTACACCGATGGTTCCTGCGTCGAAAATTATGCATCCGGTATTGGTATTTATTTCGGACCTAATCATCCCTTAAACAAAAGTAAAGCGATTAAAGGTCACAAACATAATAGTGGATTGGCTGAGATTATTGCAGCCAAAACAGCGTTGAAATTATTGCGAAAATGGAATTTCTACAAGTAAAATTAAGTCATTAATCACTAGCTATACAAATGCTATCTATAAACGACACGGTGAAAGACCGCATTGGTTTCTTATTATCGAAAGAGAGTGTTTTTGGCCAAACCAATTCAAACAGTAGAGATTTATTTTCTTCCTCTTTGTCAGAGGTGAAAACGTTATATTACGCACCGATTTCCTACCACTTATATATGCAATGAATAAAGATGGCTTCAATGGACGATTTCATACAGAATATTCTAAACTGAAGCAATTAGCCAGCAGATTCCCAAATGGCGTACAATTTGAGCACGTTTTTGGTCATGAAGGAGAGCATGGAAATGAAGAGGTTAGATGTAACTTTGATCCTTCCTGGAAAGCATTAGCCAGAAAACCGCGCATGTAAACCTTTACATGGAGAAAGGGAAACACAAAGAACTTATACAAAAAACTTAAATGCTTACTTAAGCCAGGAGAGCTCTCATGGAATTTCTGCGAGACCTAGGTGACTTGATGTTTTATAAAATTTATGCAAACCTACGCACTATATTTTTATTTCATAAAACTGAATAGACATCTTGAGGTTACTACTTGCACTGTCTAATTCCAGGCAAACAATCTGGCTCGTCGAGCAACTATGGATGCTCGATTGGCGCGATCCCTCAGTGCACCACCGTTTCGTAACGTGTCACGTAATCGTGAGTTCCTGATACGTCGTCGTTCACGATCACGAAATCGCAGTAGTCGTGCACGATTACGAAATCGCACATGTTCCAGACGTATTAATTCCTCATATCACCGTCGGAGTCGGAGCGCTTATATCTCAGGAACACGTTCCAAACGATGACGTCATTAACATAATCAGGAATAATTTCGGAATTCCTTGTTTTATTATATTCAAGGAAGACCTGATAAAAGAAGATATCGCAAGATGCCACAAACATTTCGGTTTATTCAAAGACATTAAGAAAACAAACATTGCTCCCGACTAATTCCATATTAGCAGTAGGAAAGAAGGCATTGGCCTGTGTTTCTTTTCTTCCATCATGAAATATGTTCCGTTTCTGTTACGATACTATTCCGTTCACTTAAAAATGTTTTCATTCCCTTCTGTAATGTAGACTCGTATTTGCATTATATCTTTTTTAACTAGAAAAATCATCAAAAAGAAAAAACAGAATCTCTTATCCATGAAGACTGAAACGGATTTAACTCACTTTCGTTGAGAACTGTAAATGTAAATCATCTAATACTCTTAAAAAGGTTAAATGGGAAGATTTGCAAACGATGCAATGTAAATTGAACAATTTAATTGCTTTCAAAAAATTAAGATTAAAGTTAAAACCGCAAAAAGCATATATAATGTGATTTTTTTTCCTACCACATTCATTTGTGTACAAAATTTACTATAATTAATAACTAAAAAATTCATATGATTATAATATATATTAAAACTTAGTGAATGTGTTATTTAATAAATTCTCTGTACTTATTTACCTAAATTGCTAGATAATTTACTGCATGAAAATACTATTCTCTTTTATCCAGTCAGCTGCCATTTTGTCATATAAAAAGAGGTTAATTGTATAATGTTATTTTTCATGCTTCAAAAAGGAAATATATTGCCTATATTGAACTAGTAAACGGTAAGTAATGCATCTATGCATGCGAAACATTTATTCTTGTCTTCCTTAGAATTAATGATGAATCTTTTCATGGCGCTTAAGTTTCAGCGAAGGTTTTTTACTTTATACTGGGGAATTTGAATCACGAAAGTTTTTCCTCTCAATACTGGAATATGCATAAAAAGAAGGAAAATAATTCTAGCTTCAAACAAATTTAAATGACATCTACATCTACATATTAGCTAACTAAAATCAAAAAATCTAAGCAACGGATATTCTAACCAATAATTATACAATTGTGTAAGCCTTTTTGACATGCATTTATGCATTGTTCTTATAGGGAAGTGCCGCATACTGCACATTCTAATTGATTGTGGTAATTTATGAATATAATACATTATAGGTAAAAAGAGAGAAAAACGCATATGTCACAATAATGGCAGATTCTATTGGTGATAACAAAATTATCGAATTAAACTACGATAGAGCTAGCAACAATAAAATCAGCTTGCCGTAGAGTTATTAACAGTGATATATCTACATCTATCATTGGTGATGATAAAATATCACAGGTACAACCAATAATAATTGTAATAATGTCTAAATATTGTTGATTCAATAAAATCTTCAAATAACCTTTGTGAAAATAATTCAAAACGTATGAAAAGAAGTAGATACCACAGGAAATGAGGGCAGAATGCCTTACACGTCGCGTCACACATTTTCTCTTAAATTTTTTTTGCAACTGTGCACCTAACCCGCACTTGTCTTTGGTTTGGATTAGAGTAGTAGAGAGGAGAAGTTGCATGTTTCACGTGTGATAGTTGCGAACGTAAGACTGATGAATAATGAGTTCGATCTCTCTGCTGCGTATTTCATGATGTTGGAATGCTATAAAAATTCTACAATCATCTTTCGCGCTAAATGTATTCAGCAAAATTTTGAGTTTCGTGCGGATAACTTTTACGAAATTGTACACATAGCTATAGATTATTCACAGAAGTCTTGTGCATTCAAAAGTATTACAAAATTATTTGAGACTAACGAAGAATTTGTCTCGGTATGTGTTGTTATTATTCGGTGCAAACTTAGGATACCATTGTTTTATATTTGTATTATTCGGATATAAAGTTTGTAGAATTTCAGGTTATATGACAGGTTAACACACGAATTTCAGTGATGTCACCGAAGAAGAGTTCACAGATACAAGCTAATTCCGAAAGTGTTCACTGGAAAAACACGGTAATTTTTTGCTTTTTTACCTAATCGCAGAAATTTGATGACCTCACAAAATCGTATGATGTGAAGTGAAAACTTTGATAAGATAATAAGTTATTCATTCAGATCCAGTTTTACTTTTTGGTCTCAAGAATGCTACTCGTTTTGAATCTGGTAATTTAACATCGAAAATCACAATACGTAGCCACATTTTAACTCTCGTATGGATCTATTACTTTAGCCGAGAAATTTTCCCTTGAAATTTTTCTTGGTTTGAATCCTCATATACGTCATTCAGTTGCAAAGTTACGAACCCGTGATATGCATATCTCACCTCACATATATTATTCACTATGTTCTTAGTTGGCTAAAGCGTTGGTAAGCGGAAGCGAATGGCCCGATAAAGATGAATTGCTGGATGTATTATATTGGGGAAGACAGCTTCTTGCACTTATGATCGGTATTTTTTGGGGTTTTATACCGCTACACGGCTTTCTGGCCATTGTTCTCTATATCATAATTTCTACTGCTGTTGGCCAATTATATGCTACTAATTTTCAGAAGGTTTGTTATTGTTTTGTGTTTTGTTTGCTTTTAATTGTAATGAAATAGCTTTTTTCTTCAGTTATTGATTTATTAGTTCTACTTCCTTTTCTATTGATTGTCCCAGCTTCGTTTTAGGTACGGAAAGAATATAAAAACTTATTGCTTTAAGAAATCATATCTTGAAATTTTTTAGTGAAATTTTGTCAATACTCCGATAACGTTGTTATTAAGAGCTACGATGAATCTTTCAGTCAATATGAAGCAGAAAAGCTTTTTTTGATTTTGTCAAAAGATATTATTTACCCCAAATTTTTATATAACCCAACGGAGCTCCTTTTAGGTGGACGAAGATTCCTTGGGTGGATTTTGGGAATTAGCAAAAGAAGGTTTTGGATCTGCATTCGCAACATTCATGGTTTCATGGATAGGCGTCTATTCCGCTTCACATTTTAATTGATTGTTTTTTCTTCCAAAAGTAGGAGTGGTGAGAATAGATTGTTGACTTTCATGTTCACCTGAATTGCTTAAATATCATTTTTTGTCCATATTTTCGAAACATTGGATCTCAACTGATATACATTTCATTCATTAGCATGTCCAACTAATGTCATTCACATTAATGCATCTATGCATGCGACACATTTATTCTTGTCTTTCTTAAAATTAATGATGAACTCTTTTATGGCACTTAAGTTTCAGCGAAGGTTTTTTGCTTTATGCTGTGAAATTTGAATCACGAGAGTTTTTCCTCTCAATACTAGGATGAGCTTCATCAGATACAGAAAGAAAGGCATTAAACCAGGACTGTTCATAACTTGTGATTTCTAATGATTTTTTATCTGTAAAATTGGATCGATTATGTGGTTTTTTTACCCATAGTTTAATTTATAAAATATTTATAACAGTATAGAATGTTGTTTGATTACAGGACATATCCATATTGTTTTACTTATGATTGGTAACTACACAAAACATCCTGCTGATTTTAGTGCTTTTACACTTTGAACACAGCTATAGATGGCTTTCTTTGAAAATGTTCAGGATATGAGTCGTTAAACTTTACAAATATTTTTAAGACCGAGGCAAGCTCGGCTGAAGTTCTTTTCTCAACCTTTCTATGCTTGAAAAGAAAGGTAGCTTTTGCTTTAGAAAGTGCTTACTAAAGCTTTCAGCTGAAAAATTCTTCTAAAAGCTTGGCCAATCCATTTCTTACCGTTTGATTTATTGAATAATCAAAATTTCAGGTTTAAATGAATTTGCATTTGATTTTAATTTCTCCTTCGATACATAACCTTATAATTACAGAGTTGGTCCAGTTCGTAATAAAAATGGTATGTTTGCCTTACGAGATCCACGATCGCAACTGAAATGCTATTAAAATTGCTGTGTATTTGCTTAGTTTCAGCCTACTGTGTTCAGAATCAAAGTTAGCTTGACTGAATTTTTTTCCCTTTTTTTACTTTCTCTTTTGTGGGTATTAACAATACTTAGATTTTATAATAAGCTGCTGCTCCTTTGCTTTAGTTTAGTTATTTGTTTGCGTGCGTTTTTGTGTTGTCTTTACGGTACCGATAATCTAAAGTAGATTGATTAAATCGAAACTTTATTAAGTTGCGCCTTGCAATATAAGCCATTCTAACAAATGTATTGCATTTTTGTTAACGGTATTGGATAAATAGAGATTTATTTCACCCGTAATGAGAACTTATTGCGCATTTTTTTGTTAGGTGCATCCGTGGCCAGTCATGAAATATCGATTCTTTTCGTGATTTTATCGCAAAATGCTGACTATGATGCTCGTAGAACTTCGATTTTATTCGATTCCCTGAGGAAGCAAATTTCGGAGAATACAAATTTGGTAAAAGTGACGATTTTTTTATTTAGTCTTTTTATTTTTACTTGTTTGAGACTTTTCCCTCTCATTTTGTTCTTACATCTTCTTCAGGGTCATTCTTTCTTCTTTCACTTTCCTTTCATGCAGATACATTGGAGGAAAAAAATTGAACCTATTATGGTTATGGCAGATGGCGGATGACTTTTCTATCATACAGTTAGAGATTGGTGGTGATGCCATGATTTTATACCCCTTGTGCACCTTCTATACCATTGATCTTTGCAGGCATTCTTCAAAAGCTAGGATAGGTAGCTGCGACTGAGATTTTCTGCTAGTGAAGTTTCGAAACCAAACTCATTTCTCAACTTTGTCGTTTTGATCAAAATTTTATGGGTTTCAGCATGCCGATATTTTGAGGACGTATGAAGATCTGCCGGGACTAACTGGAGCCTGGGCAGTATGGCCGATGTTGGAAAGGTTGGTTTGCTGCAGGAAAAAGCGAAACGATGTATTACTGATATTGAGGCTTCTTAAGTGTCGATATTTGCAGCCTATCTCGAAAATATAAGGAAACGTTGTGGGATTGGTTATTGATTTGTGAGCCGGATACTGTATTGAATGTTAGTGCATTAATCGGATACCTGAATTCTTTCGACCGCAGTATGGTTCATGTAATTGGACGAGGATTGAGTGATAAAACGTGAATTCTTTAATTTTTTTGTTCAACTGGGTGCTTTTTTAAAAGGAAAGTGGGTTTATTATGTATTGCAAACAGTAGCATATTAGTGATGACGGTGACTTAAATCATTGAAATCCGGAAGGAGGCGCTTCTGCATTAGTAAATTTGATTCTGAAAATTTCAAACTCTACTTACAATATGTATCTCTTCACTTTTACTTCGATTATTTCTGCACACTTTTAATATGTTCAATAAATTTTTTCAGCAGTACAATAATTCATCATTTTTTCAAATATGAGAACGACGAGCAATATTTTCTTTATCCTGATTTTGCCGCTGGGCTAGCACTTTCGTGGACTTTACTCCGAGATGTTGATATCCTTGCTTGGAAAGGTTTCACAATCGATGCAAAGCACGAAGTATTCTTTATTCTTTCTCACCAACAAATCATTTTTTTTTCGACTTTGTCAAGTTTTGTTAAAGGTTAGATGAATTACCGATGTTTTTCTTTTTTTACCAGCACGACTTTTTTACCAGAGAGATTATTTTTTCAATTGGTTGAAATATTGAAGAAATCTAAATTGCAGTTTGCCAGGCTATTGAAAGATAAACATGATATTAGATTAAGCAACACGCTATCTTTCTGCCTTTTGGACTACGAATCACCATGTATTACTCGGTACGTACAACCGGACTTCAAGGTTTGTCTGTTTTTCATATTTCATTTCTTATCTTATTTGTATAGTGCCTGATGTTTTTGTACCTAAATCCATAAATTTAGCGTATAAATAAAATAACTACTTGTACTCGTGGACTTTTAATTAAATGGTAGCATTAATGTCTTTTAATTAAATGGTAGCATTCTTGGATGTAGTAGTAAAGAGTTGTCTTAAAGTGTGTCACTTCATGTCTATGGTATTATTGAAAGTCTAATTTCTCCGTTTCTAGCTACTTTCAGTCTATGGATAAAATTTTGTGACATGTGTTTTTTTTAAGTTCTGTAAAGTATCTCAAATTTATCATTTAAATTTACCGGTGGTTAACATTAGTGATGTCCAATTAAAATCGAGCCAACTAAATCCACAAATTTAGTGCATAAATAAAATAACCAACAATGATGTCTATTTTGCGGTCAAAACCTTTAGCGAATTCCATAAAACGCGTATAGTAATTGTAAAGCGAACTTGGGCGAAAACGGCGAAATTTTTAGAATATTTTAGTGACATGGAAGATCATTATGTACCAACTGTGAATCTCGGCATTCAAAATACGAAAAGAGGTATCTTTCTGACATTATAAAAAATAAAATTTGTCAAACGTAATAATATTATTTCATTTTATCTTTCTTTTGTTATATTATAAACGAAGTTATGATTTAACAAATAAAATATAGGAACGTGGACAACTTATTTGAAAAATTTCTGGAAGAGTATCAGGAAATACTTCCTGACTAAAAAAATGAGAATTAAGTATCTTTAATGGTTTTTTCAAATAAAGTCCGGTTGTTTCAAATAAAATCTTAGTGATGAGATTTCTATTCTTATCAAACTTTCGAGCAGTGAAATGTTTCGAAATCTAAACTGAAAAAATTTCTTAAATCTTTTAACCAACTGAAATAAAACATATTAGGGCATTGTGGAAAAACTTTCGGCATACTGAAATATTATTTGAAAAACGATGAAATGTTAAGAACGAAATGGTTGGTGATAGCAGACGATGACACTTTGATAAGGTAAACTCTGGTTCCATATATATTATATTTTTCTTTGAACCGATTCAGACCGTTCGACTTTCCTACTTTTGTTATTTTGTTTCAACTATTAGTACGGAAAAGCAATCATCAAGCTTGCAGTGTTCCGAGGCTATATGAGCTTTTATCATGTTATGATGCAGAAAAGGAAATAATCATCGGTGAAAGATATGGTTATGGTTTTAGTACTGATGGTCGTGAAGGATATGATTATCCAACTGGTGGTGCTGGGTAAGTTGTTATCCATTCTATTTGCAGTATTAATAGCTGCTTTGAAAGCAGACTTGAAATTCAAATTGCAGAATGGTATTTTCGCGAAAAGCAGTGGAAAATATTACAACCTTCTGTGGTTGTCCGAATATTGATTCACCTGATGATATGATTATCGGTAAGTACTTTTGAGATATTTCCACAAAAAATTTCGAACTCTAAATTTCTAAATTGTAATTGTTAATTTACAGATTTAAAGTTTAAAACCTTATTTGTCAATTTAAGTGAAATTTAAAATTTTACTAGTTTGATAATAATTTCAATTTTAAATTATAATTGGCTTTCTGAATATCTTTTATATGTGGTTCTAAGCATTCACCGCTCTAGGATCCACAACAGTATTTAATGGTGGATTGAGGTTTAGTATCTGTTGACACATCATTTTCCATTATGCAGTGTTAATCGATATCGATAATGGGGGCTGTTGAAGTCGGAAATTGTAATGGTTGTTAGATTTCTAAGGAATGTGCAATTTGTATACTCTTGTCTATTCCTTCACATTGTTGTTTGATTTCACTTCGATGGTTTACCAAACGAGTATATCATTATTTTCAGGGATGTGCGCACGTCGTCTTGACATTCCCGTAATTCACTCCGCAGCCTTTCATCAGGCTCAACCGGAAGATTATTCCGAGCTGTATCTTAAACGAATACGGCCTATATCATTTCATAAGTTCATGGATATAGATCCATATGAAGTTTACATGGAACGTCTACATGAAGCATCCGCTCAAACAGCTAATCGGCCAGTGCATTCCGAGCTATGAATAGTTGTGCAGTCTTTCTCCCCTATTTTTATATGAAATAATGAGAAAGATCTTTTAAGCCCTTGTTTTCGTTGAAAATTGACAAAAGCAATATGATAGATATAATAAAAGGTTGACGACAATAAACACATATAATTACGCTAGTCATTATCGTACTTTTAAATGTTGAAGAGTTAGTTCAAGGAATTAATTCAGAAAATTAGCTTTACTAATACCTCTAATAACCTAAATAGTAAGTGAGAGGTTATTTTTAAATATTTTAAGAGGTTTTAACATACATGGTGGTATAAACTAAATCCAGAAACAAGTCTACTCTGTTTGCTACCGATGTCTTTGAAGAGCATTCATGCTTTAGTAAATCATTAAGTTTCTACAGTGTGTTAAGAGAAGTGTTTTATTAGAGTTTTAACATTACTTTAAATTCGTGTTTAATTTGGCTCCAACTGCGGAGATCTGTTTGCAGTTTTAATATAACATATGCTGGTTATTGACGATTTTTTTAAACTTTTTTTTCATCTTTGTTTCTTACAAAACTTGTATCTTAAAAGCTATGTAATGGATTTCTTATGGATTTGGTACTTCTGATCTATTTATCATAAACCAGTCTTTATCAATGTTTCTTTTTTTGATTTTGCTTCCATGATGAACGTAATCTCGTTGTTCATGTATGAAATGATGAAGGTAAATCATTGTTTGTTAAATATCGACTCATGGGAAGTAATGGCAACTTACCACTTCAAGATTTCTAATATTTTGGTAAAGTTTGAAACCGCGGAGAAAAGGAAGTCTTAAAGCATATCTTGAGATTTCTATGAAGCTGAGTAATATGGCAAATGTACGTTCCATATTTATTCTATGCATTTTCTAGCTATGTCGCATGTGTATCGGATCAAAGTTTTGTGGGGAAGACAAATTTTTAAATTAAGTTTCTGTTGCAGTAGTACGCGATGCGAGTGACACTTTTTCCGTCTCGGCTTATTGTTTTTTCCAGGTTACCAGGCAGATATTGTCAAACAACTCAAACAGGACCACCGGAAGAGTAAGTTCCCTCTTTTTGGGCTTTATTACTGAAGGGTAAGCCCTTTCATATTGTAATCATGAAAGAGTTTAAGTTAATTTTGAAGTATGACATTAATTGTTTCCAAGTTTCATTGTCAAGTTTTCTATATTTATTAATTGTTTGGTCATTAAGAGTTCCTTCAATTTTCAAAAAGGCTTTTGGTTGTTCTTAATTTTTGTCTATACAAGTTTTCATTGATTATCTTTACTATTTTTTCAATCGGCCATAGCACTGCGTGATTTATTGAAATTTGTTTTTCGAAGTAGACCATTAATCTCCTTGCCTAAACATCTTAATGTACCATCATATGCTTTTTTTATGTGAATAGGATTATTGGAAACTTCTTGATGTGTTGGTGAGCATAGCTTTTCGAAAAATTATACGTATCTTTCTTTATGAGTCATATTTTAACTTTCTCTTTAAAAGTTGTTTTTGATGCTTTATTCAGAGATAAATATGAAATGTTCCGCAAATTAAACGAATATGCCAGTGCTGGACTGTGGGATGATAGGTACAATAAGCCAAGGTTGTTTCTTTTCGGCAAAAATCGACAAAAAGTATATGAACTCCATGATAAAATGGTTTGTTTTGTCTTCGGGTACCGTGAAAATTACTATTATTAAAAATTCATTTTTCTTTGAAAATGATGTCGTTTCGTAAAGATTCATAAACTTCGGCAAGCGATTAATGTGTACTTGTATAAAAATAGTGACGGGTGCTGATCCTAGTAGCATATATTGAAGATATTGAAGTGTTGGTGATATGAAGTTATCAGTGGACTTTGTACTCTGCAGGGGTTACAGAATGCACTTCAGCCAACTCATTTCGTAAATCCATAAATTTTGATTTTCAATATCTTTGACAGTAATATTTTACAAATCTTTTATCTGTAACTTATATTTACTCAATTTAATGCTTAAATAATTGCAGACACCGAAAACAGATCCATTTTTTCAACGATCACCATATGGGGTGCACTTGGAAGTGCTATATCGTTTAAGTTTGGGAATTGCAGCCGTCACTATTGTTTGCTCATTATATGTTATGTTGATTCCCGAAGAGAAACGCCTAAAGTACAAATATCGTAAAGAGCATGCCTCTGGAGAACACAACTGAATAACTGATCCAGAATTCTCAATATTGAACTAATTTAATTTGTAGGATAAATTTGCTACCTCATTTTCATCGGAATATGAGGTAGCAAATTACAATTTCACCCGGAAACAGAAATAGAAATTGTAAATATGGGTGTGATTGTTGGATCTTAGAATAGTCATTGTAGGATATCATTACAGCCAGTATTTGAGAATTGTTCTATTTGTTGACCGAGAAGATTAATTTACCTAAAGGCATTGTTTTGATAATTTCTTGAAATATGTTTCATTAGCAATATGATTTTAATATAACGCGTCTTGAGATGTTGTTGGCGAAGTATTTTCAGTTCAAGAGTTTGTTTGAATAATTTAGTTTTGCTTTTGACGTATAGGTTACGATGTATTACACGTTGGGTTCTCATAAAATATTTCCCGATGATATTCTGTGCAATACATGATTGTTATATACAGTAATTGTTAGAAAAACACCTAAGTACCACGGTGGTGGCACTATTCTCTTCAAAGCCCTCAGGCACATACTGAAGTTGAGATAAGCTCTGAATTACCTGTAAGCTATGTAATATAATACAGAGTCACACTAATATGCTTGAACTATATTCTGGAATCATTGGTATGCAAATTTTAAAATATTCTTCAGCTATATAAGAGAAATAATGTCATTATATACTAATAGTTTCGATTACTTCAATAAATTGATGGTAGCTGACAACGATTCTGAAATGGATCTGAATACGAAAGAAACTGATACCAATGAGTGCGTTTTGGTATAGCATTTTTGATAGTGGTAGTCGTGAAATTTTCTATTTACGATTTATAAAAAAATTTATAAGGCCTAGACCAAAGTATAACAATTAAACAACAAAACAGAGATTAGATTAGTAATTTTTATGGAAGCCTCTTGCATAAGTTCATTTAAGAGTGCTAGGAAGGAAGAGGATTTTCATCAATGAATTTTTTGTAAACTCTTACGGGGATTTCATGAAATTGAATTTTATTGGAATAAGACTTCATTAATTTAGTAATGAGCCACTCTCCCATCCTATTCCTACGCCTTATTGCTTTCATGAAGATTTCTAATTTCAAAACTTGAATTTGAATTCCCTTCGTGATTTACTGCAGAACAGATCTCCTAGCTAAATTTAAAATGTGCTTCGTTCTACGAACACTTCATATTGCTAGCGAACGAAAGCACTACAAAGTACGATACTGCGTCAAAAGTAGGAAGAGCAACGTGAAACTTGTGCTTATGGTTACTGCGCTGGTGAACGGTGCCACACTTCGAGAAACGGTTCACTTTATTTTCCAAACTGTAAAAAGTTAATTCAACCTGAAGAATTTTTCGTGGATGGAAGGACGTCTCTTCCAATACTAATAGATTAAATAAAGTCTTCGATATCACTTATGTTAATTTCAATTCACTTCATTCTGCTTTATATTTCATTCTTTACAATGAAATAAAAATTAGTTTGAAAATATTCGCGGTCATCTTATTAAATTTACTTATTTATGAATCATGGGGTAAGTGTTGAAATTTTCAGTTAAATGAATTGATAAAATGTGCGGAATTCGAAAATAGCCATCGTTTCTTGCTATATTCCTCCGTCTTCATTTTTCGACACTATCTATTTGTAGAATATCAAACAATGGCTTATGACCTAGAACAGATTCTCCATGTTAAACGAAGGTGAATGCACATTTTTTTATTTTTCAAATTAGATATTTTTAATTCTACTGTTTTGCTATATTTAATATTATATATTTCATTATATTATTTATTCTTTCATTTTCTCAGTTTAAATGTGATTTTTACTTTTTTCACAAACTTTTTATTCTTTCCTTTCCTTCGCTATAAGCAATGGCCCATTATTCTTTTAAAAAAATCTTGGCTAGAAATGAAAATGCTGTTGCTCAATATCTCATAGCCACTACAATAATGTTAATCTAACATCAATCACTTTTCTGCACTACAAAACCTAATATAACTAACTTAAATTCGTTTTATCATTTTCTACATTTTACAATATACTTCACTGCATTATAGAGATATGTTGGACAATAATGGAGAACTAATGGCCTCAGTATTAAATGAAAATGTTATTGGCCACATTCTACGCAAACTACTTAAAGTAAGCCTCAATAATATTTCGAAGATAAAATTACAATGTAAATGTGAGCATTTACATATGTTTTATTTTTGATCGCACATGAATTATGTAAAATTTGAAAATTGCCTTTCACTGCTATTATTGAAATTTCTATTAATTAACTATTTTTACGGGCATCAAAAGTATTTTCATTTATTTGCTTCCAGGCACTTTCATATTTGCATCAATATGCCTTACACAACAATTTGATTGCACGATCAATTATCGTTACCGAAAATTGCGATATCAAATTGACTGGCTTCAAATGGACAGTCTTGAAAAATGAAGGCATTAGAAAAGCAATTAGGTTCTTACTATAATGGGAAATAAAAGTTGAATTTGAATTAATCTTAAACTGAAATCAATTTTATTTCGTTACATCTTTATCATTTTATTTTTTTATTTATGACAGTATATTTTCAAACATCGTATAATGATGGAATGGTAAATGCATAATAAGAGCTGTGAATTGAATTTTAATTCGAAAGAAAATATGATATTTTTAATAAATCGTTTAAAGCTTATTGAATACTTTTAGCTTGCGAAATAATCGTTTTTTTGGACGACCAACACAATGGGCACCGGAAGAAGCTCTTAATGATATTGAACATTACGGGCCACATACCGAGCTTTGGTATTTTAGTAATTTAAAAATTATTATAAATTTGAACAAATTCAGAATTGAAATATTCGTATATATTTGTTTTTATTTTCAGGCATGTAGGATTATTAATACCGGAAATGGTTACGGGTGAAACGTTTCATTTGACTAATACAACGTATCCGAAAGACGTAAAACAATATGCTGAACAACTTGTAAGTCATATCTAACTTTACCATCTATCAAAGATTGTGATATCAAATTAATTGTCTTCAAATAGAGAATGTTGAGAAATGGAGACATTAGAGAAGCATTAGATTCTTATTATAATAAGAAATAAAAATTGGATTTGAGTTAAATCTTTTGGAATATGTGTAGTTGGATTTTAATTCTTTTCTAAATCTTAGATGAAATTTCAATTACCTGTACCATACAATGGATGGTTCCCAAGTGGAGTAAAATTTGTAAGTTTCCTACGGTGTCATTCTGTTGCCAAAGCAATATTGTAAAACAATTATACAATATTATACAATATCCTTTTAATAAAAGCATACTTTAACATCGTATAAACGTGATAGTAGGATAATGGGATGGTACTGTGTTTTCATGTTTTTTGATATAGTAGAATGTAAGATACGACATTACTGTACCCATTATTAGTCTGCTTTCTCATTTTTTACTTTTTTCAGAGTATCAAAAATGTTTTTTCTTTTTTCACAACATCATATTTATCATTACATTTATGCACTTTATGTATTGAAATGACTTCAGCCCACTACTTATTTACCATCATCAGTTTTTCCAGTCATTAAGTTCAGAAATTCTACGACTGTGGCATCGTTTAATGCAACCAAACTATGAAAAACGGCCAACTGTTGATGAACTTCTTGATCGGAATATTTTCAAAATCATAAAATCGGCCGACAAATCGGAAATTCAAAAAGCTCTGCTTGCTGATGGTAAACTCTTCTATCTTTACAGTGCTTCTAAATCATTGTGTGGTTAATTTTGTTTTAGCAAAGAAATATCGCGTATCTACCGATGAGTTAGCAGAGCCAATTCAAAAATGGACTCAACTGATGAATTATTCGCGTGAACGCGGGGCAAGTGATGTTACACGTTTAGAATCCTTGTATCTTGGCATGGGACGGAATGAATTTTTCTCTTCAGTCAACTACAAAGATGTAAGTAAACAAATTAATGCAATTTTCTTGAATGCAATATCTTTTCATTATTTAATCTATCAATTCTCAAATAACGATTTCTGAATTTCATATAGACATGCTTCAAAAATTTGAATAACGGCACCAATTTTCATCCCTTTCCAAAAGCATAATTTTAGGAAATTGATGATGAGAATCCAATGTATAAGATTGACTTCCGGAAGGTACCAAATGATTTGTTGCAATGTGTTTGTATTGGAATAATCAAAAATCACAAGAAGAAAGCTGGTTTAGCTCTTACAGTACATCTGGACATAAATACAATCAATATGTGTACTGTTGTCTGCCGAAATGTTTATAAATTTGTGCAAAGTGAAGTAATAGGGTAAGTGATTGCAAAGTATAAAAATTATTTACCCATTTTATTAGTGACTAATAATAGTTATTTTAATTTAGCTCAAACTGAAAGCAGTAATACTTGAGACGCATAAAAAGTACCTGGATTAGTGTTTAATGAAATATTTGGCAAAAATCTTAAATTTCTAAAGAGAGTGAAAGTTACACCCTTATTCCAGGTTCATTAATTACATTCGGATTAGTCTGGAAATAATTGATGTTTTGAAGCAACGTGAAAAAACACGTGCGAAGCACAGGAGCTGGCAAATTTTTCTGGAAAAAGATGAAATCAATAAGATGGAAACCGTTGCACAAGTTCAAGTAATATTTGACGGTTCAAGCGCTCGGGATGTTTTGGTTGGTCATTTACCCAGCATGCCTTTTTTCGTTCTTGAAATATTTCAACTAATAATGCAAAGAGTTGTTTGATATATTGGTCATTCTAATTATGTAATCTATCAAAATAAAAAAGATGGCTAAATAAATAAAGAAATTTCAACAAAAGCAAAATTTGAATGTAAAATATTCAAATTTCATAAAATCCGAGTGGGGATTTAAAAGATTACCTAAAAATGTAGTCCGAGTAAGCGAATTTTTATCCATAAATTTGCAGGAAAACGCAGAAAAAGGACATCTTGAATTCAGAAATTTCAACATGATCGATTCACCAGTGCTTGAAACGTTTTCGCACACACAAAACATATTATGTGACAAAAAGGTATCTAGCACTTTTTATTTATACAAACGAAATTAATTTTTAACTGCCTGTAATTAAACTTTATACTTGAAATTAGATAGTAGGATCGTTTTATTACAATTTAAAATGGAATGAATATTAGAGGACAGTAAAGATCTCGAAATCCAAAACTCACAAAAAAGAAAAAAACTGTCAGATTTCTCGAACTATCAAACACACACACAACAAACGATCGCAACTGAGAACAAACGATCTAAATTGATCTGAGAACAATTAGTACAGATTCTTTACCATCAATATTTATCTCTCCAAGCTATGCTTAGTGTTTTCACTCTCAGATCAATTGAGTTGATAATATATATATATATATATATTTGCACGATCAGTAAATATCACACTAAATCATTTTTATACTTCGAACCATTCAGATTCACTCAGAAAATATCGTATAGCCATCAAGTAATTTAATTCGGTTTTTGTTAATAATTGTAAGTAATTCGGTTTTTGTTAATCAAATTCTAGAAACCATAATCCAATTCGGCAATGACTAAAATGGTACAATAATAAACCAAGTTTCGCATTTTTCATTATGTAAATTCAGGCGCACAGGAAAAACGAGCAATAGGACGGAAGAACAGCGGAAGAATATACCGCGTGATATAAACGAATTTTTCTGTATCTCGCCTTTGCTTCACGAGATTTTTCGTTGTTTGCAATAGTTATTCATCCATTAAATATCCCTCGAGTTACTGCTCACTCTAAAATCGTTAATTCCTTACCCGTCAACACTTCCATCAATAGCACTGATCTTCGTGAGTTTACGGACTGAAATGCTTGTTTGCATATCGATACCGTCAAGGACTTATCTCGGCTACATTGTCTGATCTCGCTGATATATTGTGTACAATTCACGTGCTTTTGGCATGGTTTGAGTCACCTGATATATCTCCGTTCGCTATGGCGTTCAGATTGTCAAATTTTGTTTTCACATGTGCGCTTTATGTCTCTTACTGCGTTTGTATTCATAGTTGACGTTCGAACTTATATTGAATCATATCTCTGACTACGCTTAAGTTGCCGAGTTGTGCTAGCATTGGTCATTTGCGTCATCAGTCGCATGAGGTCAATCGCATGATTTGTTGGCACTAAAATGACGGATATCGCTGTGCTTTGATCCGCTTGCGACCACCTCGAATATTAGTAGGATAACTGCGATTAGTTTTCAGATCGATTTCATGCAGTGAATGAGTAATTTGCGAGAGAAAATAGAAAAAATGAGCGATAATCATCCACAGCTTCACAATGACGGCTTCTTTTCCTTTCAAAATTCCTCATCATCGATTAATTTAAATTGTTGCGGTAAGTTCAGTAGTTAATCGAATGATACGAAGACGTAGTTACGAATAAGGAAATGTTTGAAGGGATTGCATCACGCATAATTTAAAGATAAAAGCTTAAACCACTAATTAGTTTTCTGATTTTGTTAAACAAATTTAACGTGTTATTTTAGTTACTGCTGGTGATGTGCAACATATAAATTATCTTGCTGAACATATAGGAAATTTGTATATAACTGGTGAATGCAGTGATATTATCTTGAAGGTATTATTCACTTTGTTTGAAACTTTTCAACTGTACGAATAATTTTGCAGTATATTTTGTAATAGATTATTTTCTTATGCTAAGAAAGGAATATGTGAAAGAGAAGACAGAATGTAGTCAAGTGTTGCTGACTGTTTTGTGATGTAAAGAATTTCAAATTGGTAGCTATTGCAGGTCATTGGAGGATTATTTAACTGAAATATATACCAAATAGAATGTACCAAGTAAGTATTTTTGGGTCATTTTTGAGGTGACTTTTTTCAGGTTGAAGGCCGCTCAGTTCAAGCTCACAGAGTTATCTTAGCTGCTCGAAGCCAGTATTTTAGGTATATGTTAGCATCATTTCTAAAATAAGAAATTGTTCATTGAATTGGAATTTCGTATTCATTCTTCACTCACTATGTAATTTTTTCCAGATTATGCAAACTGTTAAGAACTAATAAATATAAAAGGTGAAGAATTAAAATATTGAGATTTAGAGCCCTGCTTTATAACGGAATGCGCGAAACGAGAGATTCAGAAATCGAATTGGTGGACACTTCTTTGAATGGTTTTAAAATGCTTATGAAGTGCGTATTTCAAATTTTTCTATTTTTTTCGAATTTTCGTTATACGTTTGTTAGAAATTTCTAAGTTATTTGCTTATTTTAGGCATTCCTCAGTTTTTATTTGCCTTCAAACTTTCCTAACTCACTCTTTTGTTTTGTATCACAAATTTTGACTTTGACGATTGACGATTGCATTCCAGGTATATCTACACTGGTAAGTTATCGTTAACTTCAATGAAGGAAGAACTAGTTCTCGAAATTCTTGGTTTGGCACATAAATACGGTTTTACAGACTTAGAAATCAGCATTTCTGAATATATGAAGGTAATTCTCTGAAATATATGTATTAGAAGTTGTCATATCTCGAAGCGTTTTTCCATGCCTCTCCTTTTCTGAAAATGCGCAAATTGTAATATTATTTCTGCTTTTATCTTTTGCTTTTTGAAGTTAGCACAGTCGAAACACCATGATCCAGTCTTTGGCGCGGACAATTCATATGTTCCTAAATCACAAATGTATATTTAAAATGGAAACTGGAAATCCTTTTTGAATGAACTTTATTTCATGTTAATTTTCTAGGCTATGTTGAATGTTAGAAACGTTTGTACAATATACAGTGTAGCACATCTGTACTCTTTGCGCTCACTTTGTGATGTGTGTCTAAATTTTGCTGACAAGCATGCTCCTGAAGTTATTTCGACTCAGGTAAGAACTATTGGCACTAAAAACGCTGTCATTGTTTAGATTCGTGAACTTAATTATTTTGATTTTTTCTGCTTGTTTTCCTTGATTTTCCATAATAGTTTGATATTGAATGATGAATATTGTTGCGGGTTTTAGGCTTTCTTGCAACTCCCTGCGAGTGCAGTTGAACAAATGATACAACGCGATTCTTTATGCGCTCCCGAAATCGATATATTTCGTGCCGTACGTGAATGGATTCGGCAGCATCCAGATCAGGTTTGTGCTTTGTTATTATCAATCAAAGAAGAATTAATAAATTAATTGTAATATGTTTTAAGCAAGAAGATGCACAAATGATTGTTGCACGGCTACGACTTTCATTGATAAAACTGGACGATTTACTGAATATTATACGACCTTCCGGTTTAGTTGCAAGTGATGCGATCTTGGATGCCATCAAGGAACGTAGTGAAAAGAAAAGCGGCGAACTTACTTACAGAGGATTTTTGTGTGAGTATCAGAGTTTTTCACCTGTGCTCTTTTCTTTTTTGGCACATAATGCGAGTAAAAAATTGAGTGTTCTGTCCGAAGGATGATAATTTGTCTTGATGGTAAATCATCGTACGATAATCGTTTTATTTAATTCCATAGAGTAAGTCTTTTTCATTCTTAAATTAGGGCAGATGATTATCACTTCATGTTTAATTTTACAGTACCGAACGTGAATGTGGTAACTTCCGCCTTTAATGCCACTATATTGACTGGTGAAGGTTCCACCACTCTTCTCTCTGGCGAAACGAATCGTTATGATATGGATCGTGGCTTCACGACTCATGCTATTGGTGATAAAAATCCCGGTATCATTATTCAGGTTGGACAGAATTTTTTTTCTTTTTCTCCATACTTTTCATTTGGTAGATGTAGAAGAATAGTTTATTTCTGTCAGTGCCGATTAATGTAATATCAGAAAAAAATCCCATTTAATCTTGCTCGAGCTTTTTCGATCTTAAAAAAAGTAATATTTCAGCTTGGGCGCCCATTCATCATTAATCATATTCGACTGCTTTTGTGGGATCGTGACCAGAGATCATATAATTATTATGTTGAAGTAAACTCTGTTTGAAACTTGTTTTTTTTCTCCGTTAACCTAATAATTTAATTTTTTACTGTCTTATTTACTTTAAGAAACCGTTTTGAGGGTATGAATTAGAGACAAGTTTGGTGCGGGTATGCTCTTATTGTTTTTAGATAAGTATGGATCAGGAGGTTTGGTTACGTGTCATAGATCATTCACAATATCTTTGCCGGTCAAGACAAATGCTCTACTTCACTCCGAGAGTTGTGAAGTTATTTTTTAATTATATGTATTTATATGCAGTTTTAGCCGATTTATGAAGCAATAAATTTATAAAATAGTAAAGCGAAATGATAGTGCACTGAAGATGATTTTACTTAATTTTTTGCTTATATTCATGACTACCAAAGTATTATTGCTATAACACAAACTTATGCTTTGGCAGAACCCAATTTTCCGTGTTATATTAATATTCTCATGATCCTTTATTTAAACGGGTGTGGAATCATGCTCTAATACATTTTTTTTTCACTTATTTTATTGATAAAATGATTAATAAGACGCAGAATTGGTAAGACAATTTATGGAATTCTCTATCCTTACAGCTTTATACGTATCGTTGGGACGTATAATACAGTGAATAATTCGTTCCATTTGGTAAGCGTTGAAGCAATGTATACATTGGAGCCTTTCGATATTGATCCTGTGACTACCTTACTTGGTGATTCTTTTTCTTTTCAGAATTAACTAACAATGACTGGATATATCAGAATTAGAGCGGATATGAATTAGCATTTTGTCTCTGTATTGTTGCTGTGGAAAAGAGTGAGTCAAAGAGTGGACAGTTTTATATTTTTATGATTGATTCCATTACTTTTGATCTCATTTCAAGCAACAATATTTGCTCTGATCTCATTTCAAGTGCTTAGAAGTAACAATATTTTCTTTTTCATCTGTGTTCACTTAATTTCTCAAGTTGGATGCAATTTATTCAAAGTTAGTTTCCAGTTCCAACTGCCAATGTGGCAACAATAGCAAACAACGCTATTGTGATTGAAGGAGTTTCACGCAGCAGAAATGCTTTGATAAATGGAGAAACGAGTAATTACGACTGGGACAATGGTTACACTTGTCATCAGTTAGGGTCTGGTGCAATCGCTGTGCAATTACCACAGCCATATCTTATCGATTCTATGCGGTATTTTTTATAACTATATTTATGACTTTTTTGGATGAATATTCATTGTATGTAACCATGTATTTAATAATACATCATGCTCGCTATGAATCGTGTGACCTCATAATCTTGGCTACATGTTTGCCTCTTAATGGAAAGTAGCAACTACTGTTTGCAAACCATTTCATCGTATTTGCTCAAAATTTGAATCATTCGTTTTTTTTCTTGAAATCATTACCTAACGTTGTTTAAAGCCTGCGTGCAAGCCCTCATTGCTTGAACATTTGATGTTCATCTATGATGCTTAAACTCTGCTGATTATGTTTTAGCTTACTTCTGTGGGATTGTGATGATCGTCATTACTCTTATTATGTTGAAGTATCATGTGACAATACATCTTGGACACGCATAGCTGACAAAACTCAAGAACACTGCAGGTAAATTTTAATCATTTGCACATTGCTAGCGTTTTAAAACTATGCTCTTTCTGAAAATGACTGATTTCTTTATATTTTTTGGCGTTTTAATTCGTTTATATATTTTCGTTTTTTTCTTTGTTTGCTGAGGCGGAACTAAAGGAAAAGACGGAATGTGCTCAATTTTTATTCTGGTAGATTGCAAAATCTATGCCGTTTAATATCTTTAATTGCAACCAACTATATTTATTTAATATATTCGAATTTCGTATATCATTTTTAGTTTACATGTCATACTTTCAATTATAGAGCATGGCAGTTATTAAGATTTGATCGGCTTCCAGTTGTGTTTATTCGTCTTGTTGGAACGCATAATTCAGGTAAATATACTCCCACTTAAATATGAAAACATGAAAATAATTATTTTCCAACATGAAGTATCTTGTTGTCATTCACATTGCAACTGTAATGGTTAGGTTCGGTTCAATTGGACTAAAGAAAATGGATGCTTTCCCCTGTGCCTTTATTGTAATGGAGGGAAGGAAAGTCGACTGCTGAAGTCAAAAATCAAACAGCTTACCGTTGGGAATATGTAGGGGTTGGAGGAAAAGAGGGAAGTTCCCAAATTTTATTCCCGTAGTCAACGGTAAGAAAATCTATTTCCTTCAATATCTTTAATTATAATCAATTTATTTTGCTTTTTTCTAGTGAATGAAGTGTTTCACTGCGTGCATTTTGAATGTCCCGCTCAGCAGTCTGCTCTCACACCTTTGGAAACATTTGATGCTATGGTCACTATATCAGCACATGAAAGAAATGAGGAAGTGGATTCGGTACGAAATGCATTATCCGCGTGTATTTCCGTGAGTTCATCAACTGATTAATCAAAAAATTGGTTTCAGAAAATAATGGATAGTAGGAAGTTTTGAAGAGTGGTGCTAAAAGCTTAAGATTCAGCTGAAGCAGTTGAACTCAAAGATGTTTGAAGAAAAGAATTATCTTTCCGCTTCTCCATTGTCAATAGTAAATCCTTTCTGTATGTTTTTTAACGCTTGCTGTCCCATGAGCTCAATTCCTCTTGATTTGTTTCACCTTTCTCTTCTTGGCTATATTATATCGCCTTTATAATATTAATATGCTTCAAAACATTTTATCTCTTCTTTTGTCTGCAGAGTAAATTCATTTTTCGACTGTTGAGAAGGTTCAATATTTGTTTATTTTTTCCTCTTTTGATATCCTCTTGTTATGAAGACTTCAACATTTAAATATTAGTTTCTAAGTTACTTTATCTATCAAAATTCATCAATGTAGTCGAGAAGTTGGAGTGCAATTTATTAGTCGAATTTAATAAAGATTTCTCACGCAAAATTCTTTTTACTTCAGATAGTAAGAAAATTTAGAGAGCTGCAATAAAAATTTTGACGTCTTTTTGAATTATATTGTGACATGTGCTTCTTATGTACGATGTTTCTTCTCGTGATAACGTCGGGATGACATTTTATTGCTAATTTCGCTCTTTTATAGGATTTTATTTGTTTAATCTTTCTTTCTTCTATTGTTTATTGGAATTGTAAAAAATAAAAATAAAGCTATTTTCTACAGGTTTTCTGGAAGGATTTTAGCAAAAATTTATTGCTTACTCTATTTAGCTTAGGAATTATATCGCATGTTGTGATAAAATGTTAACAGACTACATACGGTAGCTTTCCTTCATGATAAATGTGAAAAAGCGTGTACAGCAATATCTGCTCTTTTATTAACGAAATTGAATCCTGATAATACACACACACACACAATTGTTTAGTAATGTCCGATTTTTCGATATTAAAATAGTTGAATAAATCTTTGTTATTGTCATCTGTTCCAGAGATATTTCTAACATTATTTGCAATTTATTTGCAAAGTTAAAACAGCCAACGAATAATAAAGTCGCGAAAAGACTTAATTCACGTCATCATACTCATCAATATCCGAGAAATATCGCCCATCATCCTCCTCAACAAGCTCATTCAAGTCGTCGGATATCCTTTTCAGATTTCCGACATCAATATCATCTTTTTCCTGAAATAAAATATTGCAAATCGAGAAGCTCGGAAGACAGAGATCATTGCATAGGGTTCGCGTGAAAAAGAGGAAGGAAAATGATAGCGCTTGGGTAAATTAATTCAAAGTAACCTGGTTGAACTTTTTAAATTCGACCAATTGATAGAGCACAAATTCAAGTACTTTTTTCGGTCCTCTATCATTTTCTGGTAAACATTTCGTGATATCATAAATTTCACCAGCCTCTTTCAAGAAGTATTCCAAATCACTTTCTTCACCTTAATTTTCATTAGGTTGAAGTTTATTTTACGTTAATTTGACTTTTAAAAGTCAGATCTTAGTGTTGTGCAACTATTTCGACCACTAATGGAAGTCGGTAAGTTTAACTTCACATTATATTCTTTACTTCATTAGCATATGGCTCTGCAATTAAATAATTTTATTTGTTCGCTGTAATTTTAGCATTAAGTTTTTTAACGACGTATCATGAGAAAAATTCCGCAACCATTTGATGTGATTATTGCTAATTGTTATTACTGGAATTATTGCTATTGATAAAGAAGATATGATGATGGATATTGTCCAATATCATTTTGGCTTAAATTATCAAATTGAAAAAATGTTAAATAAACTTAAGAAGAATATACTACTGAAAACATTTAAGCAATATTTTCATCAAACATTTACTATTTCTTAATTAATTAGTAATAGGTTCTTTAAATGATGAGGGCGTTTTATTTATTAAGAATTGGTATTCTTGTGATCTTATGTGCAATTTAATTATGCTGTAATTAAGAGATGTTTTGATATTAATGACCGATAGGATTGGACGTTCATTTTTGGTATCGTTAGTAAAGGTAACATTACGATTAAGTAATTATTTTGTAATTAAGAGATGTATTGATGTGAGTAACCGATGTCCATTTTTATGATATTTATGATGGTATATTTTTATGATAGTATTTTTATGATGTGTCAAACATTGTCTAAATAAAAAACAAAGTTTTACATTTGTTGGTTAGCTGAGCGAGGCGAACATCTGCTGATGAGAACATATCATCCAAATCAAATAATTCTAACCGAGGTGGTGGAAGTTCCCGAAAGTTCGGTGGAAATACCTGTAATTTACCAATAATTCATCCAGGTATAGCTTGTATAATCATTATAACGAATAACTACAGAAAATACGGTAAGCATACAGCAGGTGCAAGTGGAGGTTGTGGTACTTCAAACTGTGGTACAATAAGAGAAAGTGGCTCATGCTTTAAACCAAGCTGTTCAAATGCCCTGAAATAGGAGCATTTGTTAGCAGTTTATTTCATATAGTATGTTATTTATGCTTAATTGATATCAATAATAATTACAAATGACTATTAATTTGTTAAGATGTTTTTGAACTCAGAATCCTTTAAGATCGTCGAGAAATTTTCTAAAAATTTCTTGATAGTTTGGATTTAAAGTTTAATATTTTTTTAAAATATGTCCTTTAAGAAGCAGTCTACAGGATCATCTTGGTATATTATACTTAATTATTTATTGGTTTTTTAGTAATTAAAATTCTACAGTATTCTTTAAAGTTGGTCGTTTAGTCGATAAAATTGTTAGATCGGTTTCTTATGGTATATTTTTATTAATGTACCTGATAGTTTTAGGCCAAACGGAAAGATCCATAGCATAGAGGCTAATATCAAAGCATTTGAGAAAATCGCTGCTTTGATTCATCTCATATTCACCTTCCTGTAGACATACTTTAATCTTTTCCGATAAATAAATATGATCCGGTATAAAATGTGTATCCATCAAATCCGGTTCCTTACTGTCAACAGCATTTAAAACAAAACCTTCCGTTACATATTTCATAATAACATCCTTAAAAAATTAACCTTTTTAATCAAATTGCAAAATCATGTCAATACATAAAAATATAGATGACAAAATTTTTTCCTAAAATTAATTTCAGCGCATGTTTGAAATTTAATTTAAGAATTTAAATAATTGACTAATTAATAGATGCTCAAAAACGAATTGTGAAAATGATAGAATTCTATTAATTTATCTTTTTATAATCAATCCACTTACCCATATTTTACTGTTATCTTCTTTTTCAAAATATTGATCGGTGAAAATATGAACTGAACCAATAACTATCAATTTACCACCTTTTTCCTAAAATATAACAATTTTTTCTGCATATTGTAATGTTTTTTTGAAAATTTTATTTTTAAACTAAAATGCAAAAGATTTCTGAATAGTTTCTTTCTTACTGTTTGATGAAATGCGCAAATGGGTCGATTGTTTGGATAGCAAACGCTACCCGTTGATAGTACTGCTATTGATTTACGGCCAACATTCAATGTTGCTCCATATGGATAAACAAATTTTAGGTTACTAAAAAACTAATTGAAATTATTGAATAAATAAAATAAAGCTATAAAATTAATAAAAAAAACTTAACAAACTAAAATTGATTACCAGAAGGCTGGAACATATATTTATATATTTGAAACAATGATAAAACAACTTTGAAACAACTAATTTTTTGTGTTCCATTAAATTTTAACACTTTTAAAGCAAACAATCAAAAAACGAAAACTATTTTAATATTTCTTAAAAATTTTTCCATTCAATTACCAACATTATAGGAGTGATTGCAGTTTTCATTTATAGACAAATAATTAAAATTCATATTCTAAAAAATTTTTACAATGCGTTAATTTCTTCATCGTTTGAATGCATCAGTTTGCCAGCTGTTGATGTAACAGCACGATTTAGGACACCATTAGCAACTAATGCTTCCTTCGGATCCAAATATTTGTAAAATGTTGTTCGAATTACAGAATCTAAAACGAAATGTCGAAATATTTCCATTCTTTCATAATATATTTTTCTAAGACCTATAATTTGAATGATAAGAAAAGGTTATTAATTTCAAATATTGTTTAATAAAAAATAAAAAATTTTAACTTCACTTTTTACTCAAATTAATTAATTAAATTAGTTAAGTTTTGGCTAAAAAATTAGATTAAGATTATTAAATTGAAAATAAAGGTTAAATAATTAAGAAAAAAGGATATTATCTTTTCCTCAATTCAAATTTTGCTACTTATATTAAATGTTACCATTATTACAAGCAATGTCGTATTGTTCAAGTAAAACATTAATATTTGTATCAGCAGCTTGTTCACCACCTTCGTTCATTAATACTAATACATTATTACCGTCATCGATGAAATTTTTCAGATGATCAATCTATAAATGAAATCGTCTTTAATTAACGTTAATTGTATCCAGTTTTCACAATATTCATTTATACATATATATTATAATCTATGAAATAAATTAATTAAACATCAAAATTTAAAGTTTTCATTTAAAAATTGTCAATTTTAAATATTACAATTACTATTTATATAATACAGATCATCACATACAAGTGTCGTGCGGTAGATATTACATCTTTTTGGATAAGTTACACAATAGATGTTATGTAAATGTAATATAAGTTGAAAAAATATTTTTTTTCCTTAATTGAAAAAATAAAAGTTTACTTCATTTTGTAAAAATTTCGCTTTTGGATACGGTATCACAAATAAGCAACATTCAGTAAAGATTTTTGCATTAATTTCATCCGTATTACTGAAAATTTCTCAAATAAATTTAATTTAGGATTGACAGAAATTTATTCATAAATGTCTATCGACGGATCGCACTAGTTTGCTTGTACTGATTATTCTCGGGTTATAACAGCTACTCATATTGATAACATACGTTTTAATTGCTTTAAACTATATAAATTATTGCTATCATTGTACCTAATACAGGTAATACTAACACTTCTAAACGCCATTCATTGCGTAATCTTTTATGAATTTGCCGAAAACCGGAATGAAAATGATACGGCTCATTTTTAGATTGATCAAATATTATCCGTGTATTGGTAGTGGAATGTTGTTCCTGAAATATTATCCTAAAATAACCTTCATATGCTTTTTTAAACGATGAAATACAGCATAAAAAAGATTAGCTATAATATTATTTGCTTTCAAATTTAGATCTTACCTATTCACACACCTCTTTAATTTTATGTCAAATTTAAATCTCATATATTCACATACCTCTGTTTGTTCGTCTGTTGAAATATTGAATCGAAGATTTGAATCGAAGGTTGATGTTAGCATTTTGATGCCAACTTAATTATCACTATTGAATTTTTAACTTTACCGATATTTCCACAAGCATTGCTTTTTAAAAAACTATAGATAATCGGGATGAAATATCATATGAGAGTTCTCAGAGACTCTAATGCGACAATGTCACCAAAGGAACAGATATATTATCCTACAGAGAGTAATTCTAAATAAAAAACGATGGATTTATGTGTGTTAGTGTATGTCTCCATGCTCTGTGTACAATATGTATATGTATATATGTGTGTGTGTGAGCTTGCGTGTGTGCGTATTGGATGCAATGAATATTTCCCGTACGGTTGCCATGGGTTACAAAGGTAAGCAAATATTGGTTGATTATGATTTAACGCTTCAATTAACAAAACAGTTGAACTTTAATTTTGAAGAAAAATGGGAAAAAAACAAAAGGAGAAACTGATTTAGTTTTAAAAATGTTTTGAAAAAAATTATTAATAATAATTATTAATAATGATAATACTAGTGATTATTATTATTATGTAACAAATCTTTGTTCTTAATATAACACTATATTAATAATAAGAGTAATAATTAATAATAATTAATTATTACTGTTATTATTAATTATTACTCTTATTATTAATTACTGCTATCATTATTATTAATTATTATTATTATTATTATTATTATTATTATTGTTCATCCTATTCACAACAGATCTTTTGTGATACATCTGAACAACATTCATTTATAATGAAGCTTTCATTTAATACATTTTGACAGGATTTTTAAAATATAAAGTGCTGTCAATTTTGTAAAAAAATGCCATCATTTGCAATTTCTAGAAAGAGGATAAATGATTCATTGATTGATTTGACCTTTCTGATCATAATGTTAGCCAATAATTCGTTAAATTAATTAACAATCGATTAGCTCGCAGAATGAGATTACATTTCAGTTTGATGTTTATTATTCTAAAATGAAAAGCAAAAAAAATTACTGGTTCAGTCAAAAAAATCTATGAACCAGAAAAAATCCTTCTTACCGTACTGATGATTTTATTACAGTATGCATGATAGCATCATCAAGGTAATCATATGCAATTACCATGCGCATAATATTTACATACGGTTGCCTTAATGGTATCTACCACAGGATAATTAGTTAATCATTCAGATATTTCGTGTATTAAATAGTGATTGATACATGTAAGACAGATCATGCTGAACAAAAAGATATACAAATGTTTCAATTATTTGATTTTGTGGATTCTTACTTTTCTCAAATTCTGCAACAAAAAATTTTTTTGCCATTTATTTCTGTTTCATGACATTTTTATTTCATGTTTCAAACTAATAGAAGTTTAGTTCTTATTTTCATCATCTAAAATTATTTATTTCCATTTTAAAGGATGAATCGATTTATATTTTGGAATCATTTTTTATAATTCCAATGATAGGCTTGTATATTTGATCAGCTGCATGAATTCCCCAAATAAAATCGAAATGATTGAAATATTGCAATTCATTGTTTTGTATCAAATATTTTTTTGGTATTTTGGACATTAAACCATCCTAAAACATAATCAATTAGAATTTGAAACTTTTGCAATGGTACTAATCAAACATAAGCATATAAAGACTGTAAAGAAATATTAATTTGAGAAATGCAATACATGAATTTTTGAGAGATAACAAAAGACAGAAGATTGTTGACCTGAATATCACGTTTATCAGCTAACCAGTCCTGTTCACTCCAATACAAATAAACAGGTGCATTAATCAGTGATAAATTATAAAGAGGTGGTGTCTTCTGCAAAAAACCAAAATCATATTTAAGTTTTGAATCATTTTGACAAATATAAATTTAGAAAAATTTTGACTAAAATTCCAATTACAAATTAGCAGTTGTCCGAAATAATTATGATAATCAAATAAATAATTAAAAATCATACTAATTAAAATGAATATGTCAATTTTAGTTAAGTAATTATAATAAAATGTTATTGTAAAGAAAATGTTTTTTATTAAATTCAATGAATTAAAATTTTAGAAAATGCTTTGAAAGATTTAAGAAAATATTATTTTTAGAAGTAAAATATCGTGTCCTTACGAAAAAAATCTTTAAATTATTGCATAGTAATGCAAGAAATTGTAATGTAAAAAGATTCTTTGCTTGCAATGAACAAATAAACAAACCTTATTGTAATGTTTCATATTTTTACTTTCTGAACCGTAATCATACATTTGCGTCTTTTGACTGTTTACCATTTGCGCCCAGTGCAGAACATTTGCAATGGAAGTACCCGCTGGTAGATGACTCATATATACCGGAATTCGACTCTGAAATTATAACCTCAAAGAGGATAATTTGCTTAAATTAAGAATTGTAATAAATTAAAATCGAAAAAAAATAGATCAAATAGATAATTATAATTGTAGGAATTAATATTAAAATTGATTCATTTGATTCTATAATAATTAAATAACAGCATTAATGAAGAATGTTTTGAAAATTATTTGATTAAATTACCACATTCATTTGTACAGTAGCTGGTCCGGTCATTTGGAACATTAAATTTTCACAATACTCAACAATACTTCTCAATGAACAGGTTGATTTGCTGATCTTTTGAAAAATTGATTCATTGGGCATAAATTTACCAGTAACTTTAACCAGCATCTACAAGGGAAAGTATTTTTTTAATGTGATTTCATTTTCTCAAAATTTCTGATAATTTTGCATAAATTAGAAATATCATTAGAGTGAAGAAATATTGATGATTAACACTTACGATCAGCTACCATTAATTGATATGTATTATAATTTTTAATTAGTTAAATTTATTAATTAATTCAATAGGAATCAATATTCGTAGGAAAAGAAAATTAAAGTAAATAATATATTTGAATTTCCAGCTCAGAACAAAAAAAAATTTCAGGAAGGTTGCGAAGTATAGAAATTAAATGATAGATTAACGGATAAGAGAAAGTAATATGTGACAATTGTTCAGCAAGAGTTACTAATACTAAAATAATTTGTAGATTTAAATTTCCTTCATCGAACTAACCTGTCTAGTTCAATTTGCATTTAACCTTTACATTCAAAATTATTAATTTTTTAACTTCATTTTTAATTGTTGATATTGAAAATAATTAAGGATGAAATGAAATATTCCAAACACTGGTGAGGAATTACTTTGAGTGGTTGCAGGAAATTTTTGGCAGCAGTTCTTACCAAACCTTTAATATAAGCCAAGGTACCAATTGGTCCCAGAGCAAAGAATTTGCGAATCTGAAAATTTTTTGGATAAATTAATAAATGTACACGAGGATTTTCAGTTAAAAAAAATTAAATTAAATGATAGATTAACTTACTTAAAATCTGACTCTTTAAAATTCATTTTCTTCGTTCAAATATCAAATTGATGTCAAACTTTTTGGAGAGAAAAATTTAGTTTACTTTGGTAAGATTCTTACTTTCTGAGCAAAAAGTTGATCTATTGAGAGTTTTGCAAACATTGTTAGAGTGCCTTCGGAATATCCGACATAATATAAGAAATGTTGATGAGTTATATTAAGTGCATAATTAATCATCGAATCCAAATCATACTTTGCAAATTCATCCAATCTAAATGACAGCGTTGTTAATAATTATTAGAAAAAAATCTGAAGATTCTTTTCTTTTTCATTTGTATTATCTTTATTAATGAAAGATCAAGAGGAAAATTAAACGTAAACAAAAATTGATGCAAACAGAAATATGAAAAAAAAGCTGACGTAAATTTCCAGTATTTTAAAGAACTTTGTGTGTAGTTAACATGTTTGGTTGAGTAAGTATTACCACGAACATTACCCATCCATACATCGAATCCCGAATCAGCAAACATAAATGCTAAACACGAAAAATTACAATTTAATCTAAATTTTGATGAGTTCGAATTATTTAACTAGAGTTACGATCAAAGGTACTTTTTTATTCAAAAAAAAATTGAAGTTTCAATAACAAAAAAAACTTAATAAATTTGACGTGAATTTCTTTAAACTTTATGCTACCAACCGGCAGATTGATTCGGTAAATTAGTTACCCAAACAGCACTTGAACCGATAAAACCGTGTTGTAAAAATACGACAGGCTTTGATTCATTTCTAGAATAATTCGCTGAAACAAACAATCATCCTCTTTTGATGAAAATCAAATTTTTTAAAGATATACCTGCTTGGCTATAGTATCTTGCGTGATTATGGTACAGTATAGTATGTCTGAACATACATATCAGATACAAATATAATACGATATAATCCTGCATGACAATAATACCTTATATCATGTACCATTTAATATGTTTTTCCCTTCGAAACACTATCTATAATTTATAGAATACAGTAAACCTGAAAATCTAGCAATTCCCAATTACCTATCTTGCCACCTGGAATACGATGTAATTCGAGTATGTAACCATCGTCTGTTGTCACAGTATGTATTTCAGATGGATATCCATAGTAAGTGACAATTTCATGCTGAATATAAGAAAATATGGTAGCATTTGGTACAATAGCTATTATTTGTCTAAATTTTTAATAGTTGTTTAAGGATAAGAAGTTCAGATGTCAGCAACATTGTAAATTAAATTTCCTCCCAATTAATTTTGGGAAAGGAAAAAAACAAAAATAACAAAATATTAAAAATTAAGAAACCTGGTCAAAATCCAAAGTACCATTCTTTTTTTATACTTCCCTTAATAATTAATTAAGTTGTAAAATCAATAAGAATATATTTACCCAACATACATTATTCATTTCCAGTTATAAAAAGCTTCAAATTTTGAATTAGTTAATTATTAAATTTCTGTTCATTTCAAACTTACAGTTGTCATTGTGGCTTCTGGGAGTGATGTAATTGAAATTTCATTTGTTATTTGATACGATTTGGTGTAAATAAATAATTTGAAGATGATAATGATAAACATCGACCGCGTCTGATAGCAATGATCATCAATGCTGCTAGCGAACAATCAATCCAATGCTATTTTTTAGCTGTCTAATGCATTCGAATCCATCAAACATCGTAAACAGTTGTCTAATACATTCGAATCCATCAGACAATTTACTTATTGCTAATTATTTATATGCTGTTCGATGTTTTATTCAAATGTTCCATTTAGCTTATTTGCTACCGTTACCAACCTTCATAGTAATCAAACTTTCATTGTATCGAACTGTATATTAGTAATAATAATAGTAATAGTAATAATAGTTATAAGATTTTATCAAAAAGACGGAAAAAAATTTGTATAATCACGAAGTAATTACTGAATAAATGAGGTATTGGAGGAAGAAAACAGGAAAGAGACAGTTGAAGTGGGAGTGAAATTCTTGAAAATGATTTATTCATCCTAAAGATACGATTGTGTATGGATATGATTCTTTTGTATATGTGATCCATGTTAGCGTGTTTGTATATGAATGTTGATGTGCATATATATATATGTACATGCATGCATTCGTGAATGCATGCACTTGCATGTACGTGCTTGGTTACGTATGAAAGGTAGGTAAATGACCATCACATGGAATGAAATTAGTTAACAAAATATTAACATCCTTAGATACAATTTTATATCATGATATAAGGTAAAAAATTAAAATTAAGGATGTTAATTTTTGTTGCAATAAGCAACATGATATTTATATATGCTAATTAACATAATGATACGATTGTATTCTGACATTATTAAACGATGATGAATTTTGATCACTATACATATTTAATTTGAAGCATTAGCTTATGTATGTATATATCGTAATCATTGGATCATTAATTATAAATACTGTATATTCATATACAAATTAAATTTTATATACAAAATTTTATTTGAAAATTTACTGAAAATTTGTATTACTACGAATTTAAAGAATTGTAAGAAATCTGATTTTTTTATTAAAATAGCGTTTGTTATCAAAATTTCATCGTAAATATGACAAAGTAATCAATCATTCATTTACCGCTAAAAGTGTGATAATTATATTTGTGAAAAGTATCATTTCATTGGTCGTATCAAACCATTCAAATACTTCCTTTATTTGTTCATTAATGATTAAATTAGACTATCAGTGCCTATCTTTCTTATCAAACAAGCTTAAACTTTCGTTTTAGCTTTTCATTTTAGCATACTGATTTTAGATCTTGTTGATATGTTATTGTAATATTTCTATGAGAATATAAGCAAAGTTTTTCTTTTTTTGCAATTTTTCATATCTAACTTAGTTCAATACACTAATTTCATTACATTAGTTATTGTTGTTGGCAGGTAAATTTTCAGTACCATTGAGAAAACTACATAAGTAAAATTTTGAAAATATTTTTCGTATAGAATGAAATTTTGAAATATTTCTCAAAAAGACTATATTTAATTTTGTTTATTCACACATGGTAAAATCATTGAAGAAGTATTATTATAATATAGCATAAGTGGATAAATTCAAAAATTACTACGAATAATTTCAATTCAAAAAAAATAAATTCATAAAAATTATTCTTATCGTTATTCTTTATTAATGATTTCAATTCATTAATTGATATGCAGCAATATTTTACATAATTTATTTCTCAAATAAAAATTAAATTTCAAAAATTTTTGGCAATCTTAAAATTATTAGGCAAATCTTCAGCTCTATGATCCTTAATAATCGATATAATTGGTTTGTAAATGCCAGCAGCTGCTCTCAAACCCCATATGAAATCCAAATGATTGTAATTTTTAAATTTTTTTCTCATTTTGATTGAATTTTTCGGCAAAATCGATAATAGTGAATTCTGAAAATAAACAAAAAAAATTTGTCTTTTCTTTTTTTCAAAAATATTTTATTCTTCGAAATAATTTAATAAATATTTAGATTTGACATATCCATTTGTAGAAAATAAAATAGTAATATTTAATGGCAGCTAACCTCAACATCTTCAGCAGTTGCTAACCAATCATTTGTACTCCAATACAAATAAATTGGAACATTAATTGAACTTAAATTATAAATTGGTGGTGAATCCTAAAAGAAAAAAAGTTGGAAATAATTTAAAATAAAGAAGTTCTCGAAGTTTTATTAATTATTCAATGATGTAATTAAATTTTATCAAATATAAGATTTTAATTTTGTTTTAAATTAATTAACTAAATTATTAATTTTTTTAACGAAAGCAAAAAATAGAAAAATGAAAATGTTACAGCGCCATAATGTAATTGATTTTGCTCCACTGATTCATAATCATAAGCTTGCATTTTCCCACTATTAACCATTTGCACCAAATGAATCATATTCATTACTGATGTACCACCTACTCCTTTGATATATACCGATAAACGGCTCTGTAAATTAATCAACAATTTAATTGCATGCGAAGAATTAAACTGTTAAACAATGAAATGAAGCTGAAAAAGGGAGCATACCGAAATTTCAAAGCAATAAGAACCTTATTGAATTGGTCACTCATAGGGCCAGCTATTTGATAGAGAATTTCGTCGCATATTGGATCGAAGAAGCTTTTTTCACAGATTAACATACCAATTATTTTTGCTAATTTGCTAGTAAGTGTAAAATATTTATTACCGAAAATTCGCCACATCAACTGAAATGAAAATTAATTTCAGATCTTATCGACCAATAATCTATTCTTTTTATTTAACAATAACAACAATATGAAGAAATTAATTGACACTCTTTTTTCAACGAAACATTAATTGATAAAAGGTAATCCTTTTTTTCCTTTGATTTAGGCTACTTTTTTATTTATCATTAAAATATATGTATGATGCTGCGCAATATCATATCATATCATTAATACCTTAGTATTACGAGAAATGATGGTAGCAAATAATCGGAACAATCCTTTCACATTAGCAACAGTTGCAACTGGTCCCAACGCAAAAAATTTTCGAATCTAAAATTTTTTCCGCTTTAATTTCCTGAAAAATAATGCCTTTGATTTGTTAACAAATAATTCAATTCTTCTGTAATTAATTCGTTTAATTACAACATCTTAAAATCTACCTTCTTTTAAAAAAAATTAGCTATTATTTAAATGATTTATGGTAAATTCATCGTAAATCTATGATTATTTTAGCTTTAAATTTAAAAAATAACCTTCGATGCAAATTTTGGATCTTGCGAAAGTTTGGCAAACATAATTAATGTACCCTGCGAAAATCCTACATAATATAGGCTACTTTTCTTAGTTTCATGTAGTACCACATCGAACATTGCATCCAAATCAAACTTTGCCATTTCATCCCAACTGTAATTAGCATTGATGACTATTCGAAGTTTTTTCTTCTTTCAGTTTTTCTAATATTTTCAAATGGTTGTCAAATTTATTGCTTATAAAAATTTTTACTTTTAATATCTTAAATATCTGCGTTTCTTTTACTTGCGTAAATTTGCCTAAATTACCTGAAATTACCTGAATTTCCAAAATAATTCATCCTTTACGGAATACTTTACATGCTTTAATGCGTATATATTTCCACGTGAGTTACCAAGCCATACATCAAATCCAGCATCAGCCAGGAGAAATGATGAAATCGAAATCAAATTTGGAAACAATTCAAGAATCAAAAAAAGTTCATAATCATTTCCATATGTATAAAATTAAAAAAAGTTAATTTTAATAATGATTGATAAACTTATCAAATATTGCTTAATTTTTTTACCATGAAAATAATTCATTACACTGTATTTTATCAATAAAATATAAAAGTGGTTCATTTTTAATAAACTAAAATATAAATTCAATTTAATCAATTAAATAAAAATAATAAAAATGATTCATTACACAATGTTGCGCATTAATTGCTCTTTCCTTAACATTAACTTTCATTCGTATCCTACGTTGGTAGAATTTTTGCATGCACTGTTTTCAATTATGTACATGCTACGTTTTGACGTAATTCACTTTTTCTTAACAAAAATTTTCCAGGAAAATATACCAAATGATTCATTTGGAAAATTTCCCACCCATTCAGCGCTTGATCCCAATAAACTATGCTGTAGGAAAATTACTGGACGATATTTTTGATTATTGGAACAACCTGAAAATTTTCAAGCAGATATGAATAGCTCTTTTTTATAATTAATATTTATGTAAATGATTCTTTATTTGTAATATTTAGCCCTGGAATATTTTTCCTATATTACGTGAATTATAGACAGAGAGATGCATATCAAAATGACTAAAAATAACTGATAAAAGAGGAGCTAGCAATAGGCTGAAATGCACATTTAAATGATTAAATTATTGATCATTCAACTGAATAATTGATTTCCACGGAATATTTCTGATATGCAATAGCTGAATATCAGTTTAAATTGCTGAATATCAGTTTATTTCCTCAGTAATTGAGGTCATTTCTAATACCTAAAATTTACTTCCAATAATAAAGTGAAACCTTTTCTTCTTATATTATACAACAAAAGAAGATATTAAGAAAAATTTGAAATGAAACTAGCCATTTTTGCCAAAGGGAATACGATGAAGATCTAAAATATAACCATCAATGGTTTGTGCATGGAATACTTGTGCCGGATAACCATGATAAAGTATTATTTCAATCTAAGAAAAAAATGAATAACAGTTATTTTGCATAAAATCCTAAGTAAATTTTATAATTTAAATTGTACAGCAAAATGACAGACAGAAAATCCATATGTATAACTATAACAGCGATTGATGTTAATTCAATCAGCGATTCATTCACTAATTCAATAGTATCATTCTTTACATTACTAAATACACAGTGCTTACATAATAGAGATATTTACAAAATAGAAAAGAAATTAAGAGACGGTAAATATGAGATATTTATAAACCTGAAATAAAAAAATAAAGTAACAATAAAAAAATTTAATTTAATTATTAAAAACATACAGCTGTCATTTCTGCTTCTGGTGGTATATTTGAATAGCAATGAGTTGGTATAATAATGAGAAAAATGACAAGAATAGTGATAATCACATTAATATTAAGTAATATCATTATTGCTAATAAATAACCTTTATTTATTGCTTTCGTTGCGTTTTTGTTACTGTAAAAAGTTAATGTTAGTTTAAAAAATATTTGATTTTTCATTATCTAAGTTGAAGTTATTTCAATTGCGAGAACTAACAAGCATATCCGGGGAACTTCATCGAAAAAAATTTAACAACTGTTAATCAATCAATATTTGAAATAACAAAAGCATATTTCTTAGCTTGATTTTTTATTAGAATATTTTCAACGCTTATATTCTGATCTGATATCGGTGGAATGAGTGCAAATGTTATCAGTTCTTAGCTGGGATAATGGGAAATAGATAGTGTTGCTATATTTGGTAATTTTAAATGATATCAATTATCAACTGGAAGATTGCAAAATAGAAAGTGTCATTTTGCAATGGAATATTTTAACAAAGATTTTGAATTGCAAGTATTCACATGAATTGCATGTAAAATTTTGCAATTTTTTGTTTTTTATCGATCGGATAAGTTTCATTTCACTTCACTTTTAGTAAAAAATTAAAATTGAATATTTTATTGAACTTAATGTATTAATTCTAAAATTTTATTACTATAAACTTCATCATAATATTTATTCGTGCAAAGAGACAGACAAAAGTGAGAAGAAAATCTTTTTCCAAACATTTTAAATTTTAAAATTTTAAACAACAATTTTGAAAAAAGAAAATAATCTAAAATGATCGAAATATGATCTAAAATAGTAAATAATCTTTCACTTCGATTGATAAAAGTTGTCAATAATAATTAATAAATTAAAATGTTAAAGAAAATGGTGGAGAAAAAAAATGTTATGCAAAAAATAATTGATTTATTCCTTCTTAATAGTTTTAAAAATTATTTCATTTTAATCATCTTTATCATGTTTGCATATCTTTGCAACCATTTCCTTCTTCTTTAATATTAAAATTTATGTGAAAAAAATTATTTAAAAATGTTGTAGTAAATATGTAAATATTCATTCATTCATATCAGTTGCATGCAAAATTTTGCAATTTTTCATCTTTTATCTATCGAATAAATTTGTGGAAATAAAAATTCTTCAATGTATTTATTGTATATTAATTGTGGACATTTCCTTTTCTTCACTATTAAAATGGATCTGAAAAGAAAAATGTAGAATAATTGGAATAAAAATTTTACAATTTTGAAAAGCAATTTTATGCAAAATTTTGTAAATTAAAAAATATTGGCTTTTCTTATCTAAAAATGTGTAAATTCAATTTAATTTTTATTCAACAACCATAACAAAATATAGTTTATTGGGTCGCAATCATAAATGAACATTTGAAATTTTTCTTCATATAGAAAGGAATTTACCGTTAAATATTTTATTACCTATAAGATTGTTTGACAAAAAATGTTAAGAATGCCTGGTAATGTGATAAGAATTTTTGAAATGAAAGGAATATTTTAAATACAGTCAATTTCTTTTTCAAAATTATTTTGTTAAATCTTCCGCAGCGAGGAATACCGTAATGTTGCCTAATAGATTAGGTATTATAAATAGTATTTGATATTAGATTTCATTTAATCACAATTTAAAGTATAACTAAGTGATAAGAATAAATAATTTATCATTCATATGTTTTAATTTTGCTTGTAATAAATAAAAAAGGATTGCATTTTGTAAAAAAAAATGGTATAATTTATTTATGAAAATTCTTTATCATAAAGAAATTTATTATTAAATACATCTATAAGAATGTTTGACAAAAATGCTAAGAATGGTTAACAATCTGATAAGAATGTTTGAAATGAAATGATTAAAATGGATAATATTATGAAATGATTAGTACTGTGGTCCAAATTTTTTCATACTTAATCCATAACATTGCTAAATTTCACGTTTTCAACAAAATAATTTAGCATTAAAAAAAGGGAAATTCAATAAGAGAAGTTTAACATAAAGCTTAACAAATATTATTTACACAATGAGAGAATGAAAGAATATTCGTCCATTTCAACTTCACTATATGTTAATTTAAAAAATGGGTTAAAGTTAAATTATTTTAGAATAGTAAAAATAACGAAATTTTTCTTTGTTTTCTTTTTAACATTTGATGAAAAATATTTAACAGTAATTTTTCTCTTTCAGCAGCAGTTAGCAGCAGTTAGTAACAGTTAGTAGTAGTCTGTAGCAGTTTGTAGCAGTTTGTAGCAGTTTGTAGCAGTTAGTTATAGTCTGTAGCAGTTATTAGTAGTCTGTAGCAGATTGTAGCAGTTAGTAGCAGATAGTAGTGGTCTGCATCAGTTTGTAGTAATTATTATCAGCTGGCAGCAGTCAGTAGCAGCTGGTAGCAGTTAGCAGTAAGTAGTGGTTTATAGCAGTTTATAATAGTTTGTAGCAGTTAGTTATTATAATTATTATAATCATTATAAATAATCATTATCACTGTCATCAATAACCATTATCATTATAAATAATAATTAAATAACCGTTGTAAGTACTTATAAGGGTACGAAAATATTGCACTAATATTATTGAATTGTACAAATATTTTTACAGAAAGAAAACTAAAATAATAAATAAACAATCACAATAGCACATGTATTGCACAGTAAGTGCAATACATGTGCTATTGTGATTGTTTATTTATTTTTTTTTCTAAAAAGGCGCAAAACTTTCTAAAAAGCAAAACTTTCTAAAAACGCAAAACTTTCTAAAAAGGCGCAAACCTTAAATTAAAATTTGAGTTTTAATTGAGGCTTGTATAGATAATGCTTTCAATAATATTTTAAGAGGTAAAAAAAGAAAAGAAAATTAGAGAAGTGTGCTTCTAATGCTTTCACGGAGCAATTGTTGCATGAAAAAATAAAATTCTGATAGATTATTTTAATTTATCGTATTATTATTTTTCTCTCACTCCTGTATTCGTAGCAAAAATAAATCAATTGCTATTATTCAAATTATTAATGAATTAAGCCTGAATTAAACAGCAGTTTGATTAATGATTTATTAATAATGCAATTTGTTAAGTATAAAATTTTCAACAAAATTGACTGTAGAAACGAAATGAACATAAGTTTTATTGATAAGCTTAGCTGTCTCTATCACTGGTTGATAGCCGATAGTATTATGTGGTATCCGGATGGCATATTATTACGGTCATTTTACAGTGGTGATATCGGACTCTGTTTCAAGCACCATTTGCATTAATCAATGTTTAGTGACAGACAATACCTAATGTCTAGTATCAGGAATGCAATTTTGTACTGAAGCAATTCACGACCCCACATATTCATACTCCAACATTTTCCGATATCCTAGTCCACAACTATAGTACGTGCCATTTTGATCGCATAAAACATTTAACTCTAACAAATATTTTTCATATCAGGAACAAATTTTTGATAATTTATTTGCGTATCAAATTACATAACTATAAGTGAATAATCAAATCAACTCCTTAATCTGATCAATTTTGTATGTTATCATAGATTATTATCATGGAAAAACAATAGAAAAATGATGGAGTGAGAGGAAATCACATTGCATTCTACTCGATTATGTGAGGTATAAAAAACCATAATATCTATTGAAACTTGAATTTCCGCTCTTCATTGCTTACTGCAATAGTATTAGTGTTGTTGTCAAAAAATTACCCGATTTCCAAAAACTTCAAAAATCTCTTCCTAAAGTTAAATTTAATTTTCTTTTCAAAGGGAAGGACTTCGAACGGTAGCCTTAGTGATTCTTCATTATAATAAAAATAATATGCGTTTGGAAGTACAATTCAAGGCAAACCGACACCAAAATTAAATGCAATATGAATTGCTTATTATTAAACATTGACATGAAACTAATGGTGCTATTTGATAGAAGATTTTCTAGGTACGAAACATTCAGAAAGATATATTTCCAGGAATTTTTGGTACTTATTGATAAAAAATGATAGCCTTGGAAGCCATTTTTCACATTTGAATGTCTGTGATCAATATGTGATCAATATTGTAGTGCATCTGTAATCAATATTTTACTACAATGTCATATTCAGATTGTAATTCAGCTTCTTCAAAAAATTCAAAGGTAAGCATTTTAACTAATCGCTTACTACTTGAGCGAACTTGGGATACTACTTCGCATATCCTATTCATGAATGTTGTAGTACTAACAGAGGACCAATCTGAAAGCAAACTTGTCCGTCTTCAAATAAGGCAATGTGGCAAATCTAGCAAAACTTTCAAGACAAACTATCAGTAGTAGACAAAATTAGCATTTGCCACAAAATGTCACCTAATCAAGTAGCAATATAATTTGTGAATAGCAGGATTTTGGATTCGTCACTGTAACTCAAATATGTAGCCCATCTAATACTGTTCCATAGAAATTCATCGAAATAGGAAATCGCAGCTTATTATTTGACGGTATGAAAAGTGGTAGTGAATTGATCACGTCGGATTAGCAATCGATCAGATCGTTTTACCAGTGATAGAAACAACCATTAGGAAAGATGATATTTGCAGAATTTTTCGATAAAATCTATTCATTAGTACATAAAAAAGATTAAAAGTTATTGAACTTTTTAGTAAATAAAGAGGGTATAGCATATTATTTACATAATGATGCTTGAAAAAGAATGAATTTACAAATGGTAAATGTAAAAAGTGCAAGCGCTTGATGTTTGATTATATTTGGAGGATATTTGATTATATAGATAGGAAAGAGTAAAGAAAAACATAGAACATTACTTAAAAAATAATCGCTGAAGACATAGTGTTTAAATATTATATATTTCTGGGACATGCTATTAAATGTATAACATTTAAAGACTTAAAATTTATAGAAAAAATATTTTTAGCAGAACATAAGACAATGTAACGTGATTCCTTAAAAAGGATACGATAATCTGTTGCAAATTAAGATTCAAGCCAAGACTCAAGCCTTGATTTTACTAACAAGAATATTGCAAGAGGTATTTTCTTACACAACTGCTTTTTTCTCAGAAATGTGGAAAGAAATGCAACACAAGATGACTATCT